CAACCTCCATAAAGCGCGCCGACTGTCATATTGACAATAGGGATCTTACTGATATTATTCGCATTCATATGAAAGAAGCGTTATACCGCACAACTTACTGATCGATGTACCTTATAAAATATCAAACTGAGTAACCTACCACAGTGAAGACTGTATCTTCTGTAACAATTTGATCTTGCCTGTAAACTGGCACGCCTCATATAACAGACTGGTATTTAAGAATAAATTATTATTATTAATTGTTGTAGTCGAGATGGTACGGGAAATCGCGGAAATTAATATAGACCACAATAACGGCGTATCCTTAACTCTGAAGGCTCAAACATGGATCTGTCAGTAGACTGCCTACGTTGGACGATACCTGATGTGTGTAGTCACGTCTTGCTACCTAGAATAGAACTCGAAAGAGTTAACCAGTTCATATTATCCTAATACAAAAATATTCGACACTGACATAGATTTTCTGGTTTAACCACATGCAATGTGTGTACTTTTACCGTAGAAGTTGTAGCCAGATTTTTGTTGGCAGCTTGATGCAAAAGTCGGTCAACTTAAAATCACTTGTATTATTTTGCCTTAAATATCTTATCCTCCAAAGTCAGCTAGTGCGGACAGTGGCCAGAACTAGGACACTCATAAGCACCCTAACAAACGCCTATGTTATATAGTTTCTGACTTCTCATGGTAACCTTCAGTTCTCTTGCAACTGATAGGTCAAAACGAGTAAAGTGGCTTTTGGGGAAGTTCACATAGTCTCACTATGTTGAGCCCACTAAAACAACACATAAATTACTTGGTAAACTTCAGGAATTCAAAGTTCACGTAGAGGGCATTTCAAGGAACGGCGAAAATTCCTTCGATAGCTTAGACTGCACCTATATTGCTCATTCGTAAGAAACCAGGTGCTCGATCGGACACGCCATAATAATAATGATTATTTTTAATGGGTCTGTTTTTCAACGGTGACAGCTCCGAAGCACTGTGGTGAACAATAAAACTGGAAACGGAGAGTGAACGAGGAAATATCCCACACCACATCATAGAAGCTTGATCCTGGAGCTAGCGATAATCACAAATATTGTAATGAATTATGAAAAACCATCGAGCGACTTTGGAAACAATGAATTAGCTCATTAGAAAGTTCGTAACACCTAGATACACAACGCAACTAAGTTGCCTCCATGCCTCAATGATGGAAAACGACCGCAGATCATCAATCTAATCAATTTACGTCGATGCCAGGGGTCTACTTGAGAATTTAAATTTCTGTAATCGATTGTACTTTTTCTCTTCAAGTTCTTCTTGCTTCTCTTGAAGATCGCAATGTTGAAGCTCGTAAAATGTATTGGATATAGACCATGTAATATAAGTAATCTACTCATTAGTATTAGAGTTAACAAACGAGATTAGGATAGACTTACTGTGTCCTGGAATTGTATACAATCACCATGTCGGTTGTTTAGCGAAACCACTGATATCCAGAATTCGAGTCATGAATGTTCCAAAGCGAAATAATGTAGATTTCTTATGTCACGATTTCATGATAATTCGACGTTCCGAATTCGGGTTATCTCCTTATATCACAAGCTTTGGTTATTATGTGCGCATATTTGCGGACACACATTTTGAGGCACTCCCTCATGTGTTTTTGACTTGCATAAAAATATGATATATGTTTCTTTTGCTATTCATACTACAATACACAGATAAATATGCATTGATATGTATGATTAACACGTATGATTCACCTGTAAAACAAACAAGTGAAAAATACGCAACTGATAGGAAATCAAAAATAATTTCCTCAAATATGTCGAGCATTTCATTAAACAATAATAGATCATTAGAAAAATTATCATCTATCAAAACTGCCTCGGATGTTTTATCACGATTTAATTCGTCCAACATATTTTCTCTCGATTTATAAGAAATCCTATCAGAAATGTGTGAATCATTAAGACCAACCATATCTGACAGATGGTGCTTCAATCACGTACTGAGGTAACGAATTCCACACATTGATAATTCGATGAAAAAGTTGATAGTTAGCTGACTAGTGATTTTTTCCGGGCTTGCGAACTTTTCGGAGCGTTCTCGTAAGTTCTCTGTTTTGAAAAACAATAAAAATGAGGGCACATCGGGTGCATATTTACCACTAAGCAATTTGAAAACTATGATCAAGTTGCCACTAGTTTTTCGATATGACAACAGGAATAGGTTTAGCTTGGCCAGTTGAGCATCATACGGGAACTTCGCTATTCTGAGAATCAGTTCAGTTGCTGTTCTCTGAACCTGCTTCAAAAGCTCACTGTTTTTTTAATCAGGGGCTAGCCGCTTGTATGTAGCCCTCGTGTTTAGGACACACGAACACTGCGTACAAATTTTTAAAAAGTTTTAGCGTCGACATGACTGAAGACCCTACTTATTGAATTAAGGTTCTAAAACATTTGGTGGCTATTGCACTGCAGTGTGCGGCAGTCCTTAAGTTTCGTCTAACGATGATTCCTAAGTCATTGTGTGTCTGGACAACGGGTAGCTCAGTGTTATTGATTGTGTATGTATCTGTACCTTGGTGACGGATATGCACCACAACACACTTGGAAGTATTTATCGGCAACTGCCAAGTTTGAAACTATTCAGATATTTTCTCCAGATCATTTTGGAGTTCTAAGCTATCACCCTTACTTCGTATTGCTCTTCATATCCTGACATCGTCAGCATATAGCCAGACCGATGATGAAAGTGTAGCGTGGCGTCGTGTCGCGGTTCACTATGATCACTACTACAAGAAGATTGCGTACCAGAACAGGCTCAACCTTCGAGTAAACCAGAAATCAGAAGGCGATTGAAGGTTGTAGCGAGATATATTTGCCGGCGATCGCGTGGTATCGAAATAACACCAAGATCGTGCCAAAGGAGCACAAGCGGAACTACTGAGCAAACGTAAGCTTGTGCAAGGTCACAATCAGTGGAAGTAAGAATGCCTTTAGTATAGTTAAACAAACAAGAACAGTAAAACAATCACTGGTACAATTGGTTATAGTAATAATTGTTTCCATTAAATCAATCGCGTTCTCTTGATAAAAGTATATCACTACAATAGTAAACGACGAAGGTCATTTACATACAAGAGGAATAACACTGGCCCCAAAACTGTATACTTGGGCACTCCAGCTAGATAACATTGAGTTCACCCGTACTCTTTGTTGGAGCCCAACTAGGAAGTCTTTCATCCACATCAATCGGTTGCCTCCAATTCCGGCATTTCTTGGCTTATATAACAGCCAGTTATGCGGAACTTTGTCAAAAGCTTTGCTGAAATCAATGTAGGCTATGTCTACGGGTAACTTTTAGTCCTTAAGAGCGCACCAGCTTTCACGGGCGACTAATAAGTTAGTGAGACAAGAATAACCTATCCTGAAACCGTGATGCTTCCCCGAAAGGATCCGGTTTTCATCGAGGTACTTAAACAGCTCCTTCCGAATAATTTTTTTAATATTTTAACAGCCACACTAGTTAGACTAAGGAGTCGGTAATTCTCAGGTTTATGTTTCGTACCTGTTTTGAAGACAGGACTTACTATGGCGTTCTTACAGTCTTTTGGTAAACGACCCTGCGTTACGGATAGATTAAAGCATATACTCAAAGTGTTCGCAGCGAAGTTAGATAATTCCTTCAGTAGCCTAGGATGCGATTCATCGGGCCCCGTGGATTTACCTATGTCAAGCTTATTCATCAGACCAAAGACATCAAGTTATTTAATGGTCACGCTATCCAGTGTATGTGTGGGGGGATTTGTGTGCGCTGACGAAAAGTGTGCTTCCATGATATATACACTGCTAAAGTAGTTTGAGAACATTTGAGCCTTACCAAAGTCGCCTCCACCAATAATGCGGCAGAACTGTCTCCTCATAGTGCAGGAATATTTCCTCTTCATTTTGTCCTTTGGTTTATATAATAATACAAGGGTTTAAGACATTCTATGGATTCCTTATCAATTTTTTCTTCGCACAACGTTCTAGACTTACGGAGGGTGGAGGCACAGGTATTCCAAGCTTTTCGATACTGAGATTTTGTCTCATCAGTCTTCAGTAACCTAAATCTATCCAACATTTTTGTTCTCTTACGGAGAAGGATGTGAGCCTCCCTACCGAACCATGGTGAGGAGTTTCTCGGCCCCCTTGGTATAATCCAATGGATATGGGGTGCGGTAACTTTCAAGTATATATTTCGAAATGCGTCCCAAGCTGATTCAATTGAGGACTTTGGGTCTATTTGCCAATCTACTAACGACGCTGAGTGCATGATATCTGGTATGTTTGCTTTCCAGACGTTAAGTCTGGATTAACCTGATGGATCCTCATTTTTTACAGATGTGTGGAAGTCGAAGGTTAGGACTGCATGATTGCTTTTAATTAGGGGTGGCATGTAATCGGGGTTCGTGACGTCATCCTTATAATCGGTCATTATAAGATCTAGTAAGGGTGAGTCCGAGTCGTACTTAGTGGCTTTTTTCACATGTTGTATTAGGGCGCATGTGACAACCACACCAAATAGTTCTTGCTTGAAAGAATTTTCTGAAAATTCAATTATCAGATTTGTCCAGTCTACCGTGGGTGCATTAAATTCTCCTGGGATTAGACATCGACCACTTTGTGACCAAGTACTGAGACTGGTTAGCAAGACCTCATTTGCTTGGACTGCGGTAAAGCAAACCAATCGATAGCTCTCGTCCCTTGGAATGCAAGGGCTAAGAGTACTAATTCACACGTCCCACTCTCATGGGATACACTGTCGACAATAATAAATGAGATAGTATTCCTAATGAATAGAGCTACAACCCTTCCTTTACGCTTCTAGAATCTGTCAGCTCTTACTAACGTGAACCCCTCAAAATCAAATTCTTTACCATTTGTCGGCCGCATCAGTGAATTTTCCGTGACTGCGATTGAAACTGTAAGTGCGCAGTAATCCGTTTTTGACCTTGAAATGTCATTTGTAACGTCCCTTGCAACTAATTTGAATGAGTTTCTACGTAACGTTTCGACATATCTCTGTCGTTGTCGCATTGCTTCCAGTAATTTCACTGATAATATGTGTTCTTAGATGTGTGACTACGAATCCATGTAGCTGGCTTGATTGCACAGTAAATTGATTTATCACAACGGGAACTTAGGCTTTGTAGGATACCAATTACTTACCATCTCTAAGTGCTGCTACTGCTGGTAATGGACCTCACAGAGTAATATGGATACTATCAATTCTAATTAGTTCGATTGGGCGGCTGATACTTCTATCAAACAGTTACATAAATTCCCGTAAATTCTCCGATCCATTCTCTGGAGGAGACCATATGTGCATTTCCAACTTGCTATATCTTTCAAGTTTTATTGAAATATTTTCGCTCAATATGCTTAGCATTGTTTCTTCATCTGATAACTACAGTGAGCGTCAACTTTACAACAATTCCTTTCAGTTCAGCACCGCAATTACTTCTGTGCCTTTGCTTTGTTCTCGGTGGTCTACATGATAACAGATGTTTACGTATTACAACTTAAGCTTAAAACAACTGAAAATGCTTTTCTGGTAAGAATAATTTAACCCAATTTCTAAAAACAACTTAACTTGATTGCCAATAATGAAATATGTATCATGTTTTTCTATTCGGTCTTGCCAGTGATTTAACTTTGAGGATTTCATCCGACGGTGTTGTCATTTAGTTGAGTGGTTTGCTCACGTAGTTAAGCTATTCATTTAGCGAATATATTGTACGGAAGTTTATTGAGCGTAATTAAAACCACGAGTCTGGTATTATGGGTGGTGTCCATAGAGATGTTCCATATTTCCTACTGATTGACTTCCAGGCTACAGTGATGATAATAAAATGCTAGGTAACATTAATTTAATACTTCTCGAATAACCGGATAGTGAAAAAGGTCTCGAAATACCAGGGTGTGAATATTTCTGTCGTGATTTTCGAGTTTCTATGAGTAGCTAGCTATATATGAATGAAATCATCTAGTGTACGAGACCTCGATATAACTTCCCAACATACTGTTAGACAGTTAGCACAAGAAGGAGAACACCAAATTCATAGAAGCAGTTACTTCAGTGGTAGTGATATACAGAAGGCGACTGCATATAATAGTATGATACGGGAGGAAAGAATTAGTTTGTGGAAAGAAAGGTATAAATTAATTTTAATCCCACGGTTCGCTCGCAACTGATATTTCCCATTTTGCTGAGGCGTGGTTACCTGGGCAGGTATACACTCCCACCAACACCTACGTTTTAGACGGTCGATTATGCAGGACATATTTATGAGGTATAATTTACCTTCTTTGTACAAATGTGTACTAAGCCGCTTTCAACGTCACTCTATGGATGTAACGAGTTTCTGATGTAAGTTTAACTAACACCCAGGTAAGGTTTAAAAACATCGAGAAGATAATTTTAGACTTAACGTTCAAGTTTTGCTTTCACAAATTAAAGTAACATCTATAGCTTTCAGTAAACTCTGAACACACATCAACTTGGTCTAAAGTATTTTCGTGATTAAAACTGAAATGCTGCCAATAATGCGTTTTTATAAACAAGTTTTTCATGTGGTTGGATCACACTGTATACGTGTGAGCAAAATACGTTGAAGGTGGGGCACAACGAAGTCGAAAGCGCTTGTAGGAGGTAATATACCTGAACTTTTAGTTATGAAGAAGTGTATGTTATGGCTAAGTTTTTGGCTTCTTAACTTCCAACCGTGTATACGCACGTCTTCTTGAATCATTTGCTTTACATAAATGTTTCATGCACCTATATTTTACTATCTAAATATACCGATGATTTCATCGTTTTCCAGAGTACCATATTACGAAAGAAGATATATCTTATGGCGTTCTACTTAATTTGTTTGTTGATTGATGGACTGTGTTATTGGATTCACTTGACGTTTTGTCCTCCATATGGTACGTTTAATAAACTACAGTACCTATCTAATATTTTAGTTATTTTATTCATCGTAGGGAAAATTCTCAATAGTTTTCTCTGTGTAGTGTGAATGTAGATTTTTTATTTAGGAGCTCAGTGATACCAAGCGGTTTTAAATGAGCATAATTTCCATTTCATCCGGTTAATTGCTCAACCTAACTGGTGTTATCAATTTTTGACTACCAGTTGATAAGCAACGCGGCGAACAGATTTTCAATCTGAATGTGAGAAAATGGTCCTTTTAATACTAATATGATGTTTAGTAAGGACCGTAAAACAATCCAGAACTGTGTAGTAATCTTGAATTTTTTTACGAATTTAATTCACTGGCTAACAAATTTACTGTGAACCTTGAAACTACGTAGTTCACTCTGTCCACTTGAATTTATATCCATGGATATTCATGATATGAGCAATCACTTCTAAGAGAGGAAAGAAGCTCCAGGAGTTGATAGGTTCTCCCAAATGGCGTATTTGAGTGGTATCCGTGAAAGTACAATCACATTTATAGTGGATATACTTTAAAATCAAGTTATTAAACACAAACGTTTGTGGAACAGCCTATACCTAAAAATAAACTACCTTTGTTGAGTTTATTAAAAGCCAAATACAAACCGGTATTTGCCGGATGTGTTATGTGCTCCCTGGATAAAACTTATACAATCTGAAGAATACCAAACTGCCTCGCAGTCTCGAATGCTACACTATATTTACAGAGGCGTGTGCAACTTTTCTACTCGCTTTATCGTACGAATAGCTTTAATATTTTCATTCAAAATTCACAAGTAAATTCTGATCCGTTATTTTAGTAACAACTCATCCATCTTTGATTTTTCTATTCTAGTTTTTACTGTGTTTTCTGCACTTGAATATGCTGCAATATTTGCAAACATTTTTTATCACTATACAACCTCCAGTACATTTGAAGATATATCAGTGAGGAAAATGATCATTTACTTTTCCACCGGTCGAACTATTCCGTTCGTAAATATGAAGTCAGAACTACCATTGTTGGAAGTAAAATGAATAATTGTTTTTCAAATAGAATTTTATTTAATTCGCTATCATTCTTATGTACGTGAGATTATACATCCCATTAAATTACATAAAGCATATTTTGTTAACTGTATAGTAACGTCGATGAAATACAAAATTTCATACAATCTAAGTGTATATGTGTTGCGTCATTGATCCGTTTGCCCACTAATGTACAGGAGAGAATTGTCTCAACCTAGTTTAAAGTCTTGAGGCTGGAGAATGCGTGAGTTCAATTGTGGCTGGAGGGTGTTGAGAACAGAGAAAAGAAAACTTTTATAACTGACCTATTACCTGATTATTAGGTTAACAAGACAGGAAAGAGAAGAATTGGACGGAAAATCACTCGATTTACTCTTGATCTAGTTAGATGTATGACTAGAAAGACTACAACTCTGTTAGGTTTGAAGTTTCACGAGTTCACTTAATCTGCGAACGAGAACAAGACTCAGTGACCAAAGACCAGTAATCTAGCTATTGATGCGTTCCAGCCCCGCTACCTAGAAGGAGAAGTCCAAGCTTGGTATGGAAAATATATTCTGCAAAACAGCCAGAAAACGAGCGAGCCCACAAACACAATTTAAAACGTATATATACAAATATATATAATCGATATTGTCATGGGAAATTTTTAAACATTAATCAATGAGTTCATCAGTTGACTGCTATTTAATCATTTAATCGATATGATACTTACTTACTTACTTACACCTGTTACTCCTCGTGAAGGAGCATAGGTCGGTCACCAGCATTCTCCATCCAACCCTGTCCTGGGCAATACTTTCCAGCTCCTTCCAGTTGTAATTCATCCTTTTCATATCTGCTTCTATTATCCGACGTAATGTGTTCTTTGGCCTTCCTCTTTTCCGCTTCCCTTCAGGATTCCAAGTTAGGGCTTGCCTCGTGATGCAGTTTGACGATTTGCGTAATGTATGTCCTATCCATTTCCATCGTCTTTTCCTAATTTCCTCTTCAGCTGGAAGTTGGTTTGTTCTCTCCCACAGAAGGCTATTGCTGATGGTATCCGGCCAATGGATGTTGAGTATCTTGCGTAGACAGCTATTTATAAATACTTGTACTTTCTTGATTGTGGTTGTTGTAGTTCTCCAAGTTTCAGCTCCATACAGTAGAATTGCCTTGACGTTCGTATTGAAGATTCTCACTTTGATATTGGCTGAAAGTTGTTTTGAGTTCCATATGTTCTTCAATTGTAGGAATGCGGCCCTTGCTTTGCCAATCCTCGCCTTTACGTCTGCATCTGAACCTCCATGTCTATCGACGATGCTTCCCAGATATGTGAAGGATTCTACATCTTCCAGAGTTTCGCCATCAAGAGTGATTGGATTGCTGTTCTCCGCTTTGAATTTGAGGACCTTCGTTTTCCCTTTGTGTATGCTGAGGCCTACTGATGCAGAGACTGCTGCTACACTGGCTGTCTTCATCTGCATCTGTTCGTGTGTACGTGATAGGAGGGCTAGGTCATCTGCGAAGTCCAGATCGTCTAATTGGTTCTGAGCTGTCCATTGTATTCCGTGTTTTCCTTCAGATGTCGAGGTCTTCATAATCCAGTCGACCACCAGAAGAAAGAGGAAGGGAGAGAGTAAACAGCCTTGTCTGACTCCGGTCCTTACTTGGAATGCATCTGTCAGCTGTCCTCCATGCACTACTTTGCACTGTAGTCCGTCGTATGAGTTCCGGATAATATTGACAATCTTCTCAGGAACTCCGTAGTGTCGAAGAAGTTTCCATAATGTCCTCCTATCTACACTGTCGAATGCCTTTTCATAATCAATGAAGTTGATGTACAGTGACGAGTTCCACTCAACTGATTGTTCGACGATGATCCGTAGTGTTGCAATTTGGTCTGTGCACGACCGATCCTTTCGGAATCCAGCTTGTTGATCTCGAAGTTGGGCATCTACTGCATCCTTCATCCGGTTCAGCAACACTCTGTTGAAGACTTTCCCTGGTATTGACAGTAGTGTGATGCCTCTGTAGTTTTCACATTTGCTCAGATCTCCTTTCTTTGGAATCTTGATGAGGTGTCCTTCTTTCCAGTCCATTGGCACTTGTTCCTCCTCCCAAATCTTTTTGAATAGAGGGTAAAGCATGCTTGTGGTTACTTCGACGTCTGATTTCAGTGCTTCAGCTGGTATGTTGTCGGGTCCTGCTGCTTTCCCGTTCTTGATTTGTCTGACGGCCATTCTAATTTCTTCCGTCGTTGGTGGGTTGACATCTATAGGAAGATCTGTGTGTGCTGCTTCGATGTTCGGTGGATTCATTGGAGCCGGCCTATTCAGGAGTTCCTCGAAGTATTCTACCCATCTGTTTCGCTGTTGTTGAATTTCAGTGATTGGCTTGCCTTCTTTGTCTTTGACCGGCCTCTCTGGTTTACTGTATTTCCCTGAGAGTTTCTTCGTTGTATCGTAAAGCTGTTTCATATTTCCTTCTCTAGCAGCTTTTTCTGCCGTCGTTGCTAATTCTTCCACGTATTTCTTCCTGTCGGCTCTAATGCTCCTCTTCACTTGCTTGTTTGCTTCTATGTATTCAGCTTGTGCTTGGACTTTCTCTGCTCGTGTTCGGCTGTTGTTAATTGCTGTCTTCTTGTTCTTCCTTTCTTTGATCTTGTCCAGTGTTTCTATAGAGATCCATTCCTTATGATGGTGTTTCTTTAGGCCCAGAACCTCTTGACACGTTGAAGTCAATGTTTCTTTGATGCCTTTCCAGTTGTCCTCCATGGTAGTTTCTTCTTCCTTCAGTAGATCTTGAAAGGCTTGGAACCTGTTGTTGAGAGCTATCTTGAATTCATTGAGTTTGTCAGTATCTCGAAGGAAGGCTGTATTGAACCTTTGTCGTGCTGTTTGTCCACTTGTCCAGTTCTTTTTTAGCTTCAGTTTTAAATTGGCTACAACTAGGTGGTGATCTGAAGCTACGTCAGCTCCTCTCCTGGTTCTCACATCTTCCATTGTCCTTCGGAATTTTTTGTTGATGCAAATATGGTCTATCTGGTTCTCTGTAGTGTGGTCCGGTGAGATCCATGTAGCCTTGTGTATACGTTTGTGTGGAAATATTGTGCCTCCTATGACTAATTTGTTGAATGCACACAAATTTGCAAATCTTTCTCCATTTTCGTTCCTCTCTCCCAGTCCATGTCGTCCCATAATATCTTCATATCCAGTGTTGTCTATTCCGACCTTGGCATTTAGATCTCCCATCAGAATGGTGAGGTCCTTTCTTGTAGCTCTTCTAGAGTTACTGCCGGTCCCAAGCCCGGGTAAAGGAGGAGGGTTGGGCATGGGGTTAGCGTCCCCATCCCGTAGAAAACTAACTCGCTAAAAAAACGCTTACCAGAAAAAATAATTCAAACCATTTTAACTCTGCCCTGAGAGTTAGAAGGTCTTCATTTAGAAGAATTATGACGCTTCATGGTGAAAGCCGAGTTCCTTCGGAAGCCACGAGGCCGATGCCCCTTCTAACAACCAGAGCAAAAATTTTTATAGGTACATGGAACGTTAGAACAATGTGGGAAACCGGGAAGACCAGCCAAATAGCAACGGAAATGAGGAGATACAACTTGGCAGTACTGGGAATCAGCGAAACCCACAATCGATATGATAAAATTACAAATATGAGTTTTGGAGATAATATCTTCCCCAACAAACTCATAAAAAATAAGAAAAACAGTTTCGTCCAATCTAGGGCATTAGAGTAGAAAAATGGAAAGCAAACGTTACGTCGGAATTCCAGTAATTTTGGAGTAGAAAAGATTACAGTGACATATACGTTACACGAAAGCTTCCAACATAAAATAAAACAGGGACAAATGTTAGTACTTTAGAGACTTTGAACTAAGTGAAGCGATGTCCTAGGAAATGGCTTCCGTTGTTCAATATCGCTTTTCTATTTCTCTTCACATCAATAAGTTAACACTTAACAATAACGCAATAGGAACATTAACTACTAAGTATCAGTAATGATCTAAAGTATGATAATAAACTGAGACGTGTAAACAAAAACAAGTTGAAAGATAAGTTTAGGGAATTCATTATTTGTAACAGCATAAAGAGTAAAGATATCTCTACCTTCAGCCATTATATGACGCCTACAATCGTTGTATTTTTGTGTCCATTTGAATTAGCAGTAGGTGACGACTGGGCGAACTAACACTAATAAAACCTCGTCTTTTCGTCATTTCCAACTACTCCTCAACATTTCGCGTTGCTCATGACGACGGTTTTCTTCGATATATACCCTGATAGTACCACTACTATCTCTTTTAAAATTAAAAAGAATCATCATTCCATTATGCTTTTATTGGGAAATCCTCACAGATCATAACCTATGACACACGTATACTAAAAGATGAGTTCAATGACAGTACAGGAATGACTCGTTGTGTTTCTGTTTGAATATATATTTGTAAAGAACATCTGACGAAAAATCGTTACTGTTACAAGTGTATTTCAATAAAAAATCATAAGTGGGAGGTCTTATTTGCTTTACCCAAGCTGGAATCTGCAGATTGTGACAGCTGATGTAAGCTCTGAAACAATTCACCCAAGTTATATGAAAATAAATGTTCTAGATATTTTACCAAGACTTTATTAATTAGAGGTTATCAATAAAGGTTCATGGAAAAATGTGGTACACCACACATATTATTCAGAAGCTTATTCAAAATCACTTCCATACATCGGTACGATATCGTCCTTGCTTTCGTAGGTTTAGTATATAGCTGGTTGCAGCTTCTCTTGTTAATTTGGAATGTTGTACTACTAATTCGATTAAATACAATTGCATGTCACGCACCATACCAGCGGCATCCCTAGGAAACATGTCGAAAAGCATATTTAGTTCAGACTAATGATTAAGATAAGCAGTTGCACAAGTGATCCCTATTATAAACCACCTAAAGTTATCTAAGGACCATTGGTTAATCTCGCTTAATGGACATAATTTGAATGACACTGATCAGTGAGCTATGAATAGAATTCCGATAACATAGATAAACTATATCTTTCAAAAGGCTTCCGAATATAAATAGGACACATTCGAAAACTTGGTTAGTTAGACGTAATTTGGAGGATTTGAATCTGGTAACTCAAAACAATTATATTAGTAAAGCACCTCCAGCGTGAAAGAATTAAAAACTGAATAAAGCTACGGTTGATAGGAAAATATTGGACTATGTGAAAAGGATAACCAATTTAAGTGACCTACAAAAATCTAAATAGTATCAAGAAAAAAGACTCATTACCAAATTACAAAGGACTTGACGTTTATCATCTTGGGGCGCTTTATGAATGTGGCATATGCAAATAGCGTTTATAAACTTGAGATTCAAGTAGTGCGAATGATGCAATTTTGGTGAAAGTAAATACATGGTTAATCTTAAAAGGTTAAGAAAAGCTTATAGCCTTATGAGCTTTATAAAGTTTCAACGGACTGTGTTTAATATTTATATGACATTGAAGTGGAATTTTTAAAAAATCTAGTGTAAATAATACTTTGCCGACCAATGTACATACTTTTTTCCGTAATCAAATACATTATACAGATACCTCACAACACCTGCCGCGAAATGACAACAAATATCAGGATTTCTTCACAACAAACTTCAAATGTTGTTGAGCAAAGTTCAAAATTACTTACCCACATACATAAATATACGCATAACATTCATCCAAAAGTTTCCACACCATGTTACCCATCTCAAGCATCTTATGCTGAACATAAACTTTATTACCATCGGGAGAGTCACGTGAGAAAGCAGTAAACATTTCAAGTAGGCCAGTAGAACAGGCTTGTTTTAATTCGTCTGAATAAATAAAATCTTCATTTTCATGCCGGCAACCGAAAAATAATACCATCTGTCCATTCTTGCCAACTAAAAAATAGACATGCATGGTATATCGTAAAGAATAGTGAACAAACTGATAAAATACGACTAGCTGCAAACGTAGACAAATGTGTCAGATTTGTGGTATGCAATTACACTAGGCTGGATTTCACTATTTCCGATCGTCCTAATAAATTCAAGAAAAGGTTATTCAGTACGTAATAATATATTTCTCTGGTTAGTTTTTTTAAAATAGAACTATGATAAATTCAGTCACTAAAACTACAAATAAAACAGCATTAAACGTTTATAGCTTAACATTGATTTATATTATCTATAGATTTTCGAATTCGAAGTCTGTATTTTATGAGCTACATAATATAATCACATAAGAATATCATCTTCAGTATTTGATGGCGACTATCTGTTATATCCGAGCGAAGATTAAATCACGAGTAACTTCTGAGACATTAATTGACTAATATTATCTATATATTCTTATGGTATAACTATTCAAAAATTAGATTATGTATATTTATATTCCTCTTATTATAAGCTTTATTTTGACCTAGAATTTATTATTGTACGATTTATGGTTCTTAAGCTATGTTCAGTTTATTGACTACTGCTTCCCAAGTTCACAGCCACATTTGGCCAAATATTGTACAAATGTTATTTTCTATTTTATAGTACGTTGTGGTCTGTTTGGTTGATACATAAACCGAGTATATCTGAAATAAACGATTCGATTCATATTGCAGAAGCTGGTATTGTGTTCTGGACTCAAGTGGAAGGGCTATTCGGACATAGGACCAATAAGAACGCTAGACTGCTCATACCGTCGAAGGTTATTGGTTTGACACAGTGCTAAGATTGTATAAATCGTATTTTGATTGGCGGATAAATCACGTGATAAAAAGCCGGACATAAAATCATAACACGATCAATTAACTGAAAAGTAATCAACTTCTCTGTAGCTAGTGACATTTAAATAATCATTACAAAACAATCCCGATTTTAAGTAAGCAAGTTACAAAGTCAATCCAATTTTGATAGGCTATTGTTATTATCATCATTTAGACTGTGAAGTGAGACAATTAAATCAAGACAATCCCACTTTATAACATCTAAACTCAAAGAATTGGTTTGAATAAAATTCACACCCTAATGCAGTTAAATTGAACACTTGACTTCGTGTAACTTATCACGCGCGTTTCTATCAGGAAAATGTTGACAAAGATGTGGGCACTCCTGATGGATTCCTTACTTCTATCGATAATTATCACCAGATACAGCATAAATACTATTTTAAACAATATCAAGACACATGTACAATAATCCCGTATGGTAAAATAGAATTGTCAAGCTGGTCCCAAAAGTGTAAGAAACGGAAAATCACAAGCTTCAGTGACAATAATAGTGTCTCTTCTATAAAAAAGCACCAATAATTTTAGATTTCATGACTAATTATCTATAAATCCTAGGAGTTTGAATCTAAACATTTAGTTGACCTAAGCTACAAATATAGAACTCATATATGTAGTAATGATTTTCTACGAAAAATTATAATAAATCGATGCGTTTAGGGAACACCAATGAATTCAAATTGTGGATCACCTTTATCGTGAGCCATCTTTAAGCGCTCTTGTATAAATGCACGGAATGGAGCCAGTCCTGTCCCAGAAGCTATCATAATGATTGGGATTTTACGACTCCGCGGCAAGTTAAAATTACTGGTATGAATGGCGACAGGTATTTTCAAGTGTCTCTGAGTGTCTGCTGTCTGCAAGGATTTCAACCAGTTAGTAGCTAGTCCTTTGAATATTCGTCCTGAATATACAAACAACAAAACAATGATACCAAAAAAGATTATTTTGATACATCACGAAAAATTAGAAATATTTTTACTGTGCTATAATATACCCAACATTCGTAAAACAAATATTTGGATTAAATTTTGAAAAATAATTCACTTTACTTATCAGAAAGTTAATGGAAAGTAATTATTTTGGTAACTGACTGACAAATTATTTTGATCACAACAGCGTGAAACTCTTCAACAATAGTGAAGAGTTGAAAATCCAACTAAATAATGATATAGGAATTTTAAATTGTTGAAACCAACTCTTTTCAGTGACTTACAAGGTTTATCATACCTACAAAAGCTCCAGTTATATTACAACTAATAGGTGCATTTTTGGTAAAAGCCTTATTAAAACACTGAATACTTTAACTACTGAAATATCCAATCCACTTATTCTAAAACCGGGGCTGTTATAAAAGTTTTTCACTTTCAACGTTCGCGTCTCCATGTAGATCTATCAATAAACCAGTCTTGTTATAGATCAAAACAAGCATGGCATTGATACGTGCTGTATCTCACGTTTAACAGACAAATAAACTAATATTAATGTGCGATTCAACTGTCATCTTAAAAGTACACTTTATTTACGCTCACCAGGGTCACGTACCATTGAAAATTTAAACAAGCTAGACCAAGCACCATCCCAGCCACTGGCAGCAAGAAGTCTGGTGTGAGTGAAACAATCTGCGAGGATGATGGAACGCCAATCACTAACATCCATCGACGTCTTGGACGATGGGCAGAATTTTTCGAAGGGCAGTTCAACTGGCCTGCTGCTCCGGCAACATCGGTCAGACTGTCCTGCCCTCCATGGCCGGTGACGACTGATCCACCGAACGACGAGGAAGTCCGCAAGGAACTTCAACTCTTGAAGCGCTACAAATCACCTGGCCCAGATGACGTACCTCCGGCTCTTTTTAAAGATGGTGGTGACTCTCTGACAAAGGAACTGACGACGTTGTTTACAAAGGTCTGGGAACTAGAGAGTGTACCAACGTCATGGAATGAGTCGATAGTTGTCCCTATCTTTAAAAAGGGTTCACGTCGTTCCTGTAACAAATATCGGGGATAAGTCTACTTCCGATTGCGTCCAAGCTATTGGCTTCCGTCATACTTCGTAGGTTGTTCAGAACCCGAGAAAGATTGACTCGCGAGGAGCAAGCTGGGTTTCGTTCTGGTTGAGGATGTATTGATCATATCTTCACCCTCCGCCAAATGTTAGAACACCGTCATACTTTTCAAAGGCCAACAATCGTAATGTTTCTTGACATCAGGGCTGCATTCGATTCGTTGGATAGGACTGTTCTCTGGGATTGTCTATTGAAGAAGGGCGTGCCTGAGAAGTTTATTAATATCCTAAAAGCCCTATATACAAACACCTCAGGCAGAGTGAGGGCATACAAACACCTTTCTCCATTGTTCCATTCGAGCAGTGGGGTTAGGCAGGGTTGCCCAATCTCACCATTCCTCTTCAACTTTGCCATCGATGACATTCTGGAAACAGCTCTGATGGATGTAAGTAATGGTGGTGTGGATCTGTTGCCTGGAGAAAGACTTCTCGACCTTGAGTATGCGCATGATATTGTCTTACTGTGCGATAATGCCCAAGCCATGCAATCCGCACTTAATCAGTTGGCAATCAGTGTCCGTAGGTATGGTATGTGCTTTGCACCTTCGAAATGCAAAGTACTTCTACATGACTGGCAGGATCGTAATCCTGTACTCACTCTGGATGGTGAGCAGATAGACGTAGTCGAGAAGTTCGTGTATCTGGGTAGCTGCATAAGTGCTGGTGGTGGCGCGAGTGATGAGACCAATGCACGTATAGTGAAAGCCAGAGCGGCTTATGCTAATCTGGGCCATCTTTGGCGCCTTTGTGATGTAAGTCTGGCCGTAAAAGGTCGGATCTACAACACGTCGGTGAGAGCAGTTTTCCTCTATCCTTGTGAAACCTGGCCTCCGAGTTGAGGACGTTAGACGATTCTCTGTGTTCGATCATCGCTGTCTCCGAAGGATTGCTGACACCCAGTGGCAAAATCATGTTAGTAATGCAGAGGTTCGGCATCGTGTGTTCGGGCACAGAGACGATAATGCAATCGGTTTCACCATCTTGAAACACCGACTTCGGTGGCTTGGACATGTTCTACGAGTGTCATCCCAGATAATTCCACTTCGTGCAGTATTTGCCGACGCTGGGACTGGTTGGGAAAAGCGGAGGTGGTCAGTGTATGTAATGGTGTCGTGGAATGAAAAAAATATATGTACGGCTGGTTTCTGTTGGTCCTTCATGACTCCCTAACTGGGGTCCGAGAGATGGTACAACACAGTGGCTAGAGACGTTATCAGATATGGCTCAGAATAGAAGCCAGTGGCGATCATGCTGTCAGTCAGTAACAACGTAGAACTTCGTACGTACGTACATCAGTTTGAGTTGCTACACCACATTAGAACAGAGATGCAGCGGTCGATTCAAATCCCGTAGTGGTAGAGGTAATAAGAGTATAAGCAGTAATCGGGAAGATTAGGGTTTGGAGATGTTATTCAAGGAGTATAATCCAGTGAAATAGATTTGGAAAGAGGAAAAAATGGACATGAAGAATTTAGAAGATTAGAATTTCGGAGAACACAGAGAGTGGATGCATCTGCGCCATTGCAAACGATTTTGAGCCATGTCATTCAGGGTCTCTAACCATCGGTTGCTATCACCTCGCGGTCCCCAACCAGGTAGTCTGCACCTACCAACATGACTCAGTCCACTTGTCAGTGACTTCATGGACTTGTGCCATGTTTTGGTTTGGCCGCCCCTAGCTTTCTTCCAACCTACTCCTATACCACTGAACATAACACGTCGAGGCAGTCGGTGGTTGGGCATACGTAACACGTGTCCCAGCCACCTCAACTGATGAAGTTTCACTACTTCATCAATTGATTTGCCATCCTTACCTAGTACCCGATCCCTAACAACTGTGTTACTTACTCGATGGTCCCATGATATACGAGCAATGTTTCGAAGACACCTATGATCAAATACTAATAACCTACGGATATCCTCTACTCTTACCGGCCATGTTTCACTGCCATAAAGTAGGACGGAACGAACTGCTGTGTAGTAAACACGTCCTTTGGTTGATAGACGGATATCTCGCCTACGCCATAAATGACGCAAGTTGGTAAAACCTAGTCGAGTCTTCTGTATCCGTGCTGAGATTTCTTCACACACTAAACCACAAGGGCTGATCAGACTTCCAAGATAAGTGAAGCGGTCGACACACTCAACTACTTCACTCCCTATCACTAGTTCGGGTGTTGATGTAACCCAATCCTGAAGCAACATTTTGCATTTCGAGGGAGAGAATCGCATCCCGAACATGCTTGCATTGTTGCTTAGAGTGGTCAGAAGACTCTGCATTTTGTCAGCGTCTTCACCAAATAAAACTATGTCATCTGCATGTTCTAAGTCAACAAGTGAACCTCCCGGTACAAGTTCAACCCCTGGAAATTTAGATGAGGAGAGTGTTATGGCGTTCCACGTACTCGAATCGTTTGCCATAGCGGTGCGAGGTGATAAAGAGACGTGAGGAGGGTTAGTCGGGGAGATAAGAGAGGTATTAGGAGGTGTAGGGAGGATTTGAATGTGACCACCTTGGTCTCTTGTGCTGTTACGGGTATGAGGGCTGATGTCACTTCCCGGCTGCCCACACCGTGGAAGGGTATTTCTTGAGGAACCTGAAAAGGAAATTGGATTAGTGTTGGTCTTGACGACCTGGGAGCGTTACCGCAGAGCCCAAGGGACAACTGCTTGAGGCCGGTCGCGCACGGCCTTTTCGTGGGAGGTTTTTGACGATCATGCTGTAACCTTCTTTTACTTTCTTCATAAAACGTGGTTGTATCTTCCTTCACTGAAAGATTTCTTCTGATTGTACCGTTCTGTTCCCCTACTATTACTATTGTTATTACACTAACTTACACCAATCTCTTCGTTATTGTTTTTTTAGTATTTTTTTACGCTCCCCACTTTTTTCTTTTTCTTCTTCTTCTTAAATTCTCATTGTTTTGTGTGGCGCATATATATTTGGCGCAATCCTGTACCAATATATATGTGTTCAAATAAATAATAAATAAATAAATAAGCACCGAAACCGAATGCATAAGAATCCACTAGAGCTAATATGAACACTGACTGATATGATGTTAAGGCAGAAGGTTAAATTAACAGGCAATACGAATGGTATGATGATAGTTGGTCTTCTTTGTGTACATCGTAAAGCATTGCAACCTGGATGCTATTATGTATGAATTCTACCACCGACTGGGTAATCAAAAGTGTTTTCGACAAAAACCATAGTATTATCTGGAGACTTGGTCAGATAAATCCAATTTCTAGACATGAAATCATTATCATGAGCTTCACATGTGCAGAACGCATACCAAACACTAAATTTACGCCTTGTTTTCTAAAGAACTATGTGTTTCATCAGTATCAACATCGTGTATACTCCAAGTTAAGCAAATCATTAATTAGTTTAATATGCAAAATAGATTAAATGTATTCTCCCCTTCAAAAATCCTTAAGAATCATGAATACAGACCTGAGTTTGTTTTGTAATTTACTATAGCAGCAGTTATATGTATTCGATTTGTATGAACTAACGAAGATGATGATATACTATACAATCTTGGTTTCAAAGGGTTCAACAATTCCAACAAAAGATGAGCTGGTGGTCGAAATGATTTTAAGTCTTGTAACAAATCGACTAGTCCACGATGATCTTCTAAAATCCATTTTGAGTATAATTTCTTTAAAATTATTAGGAATTTGAAAAATAATGAAAAATAGCATATCTTAGGTAACTTTTTAAAACTTTCTAATGCAAAAAAAGACATTTACGGATATACATACACATATTTAGCAGCATAAAACTTTATGATTACGACCAAAAATCAAAATCCTGCAGACAGCTAACAATCAACTGGTCGATAAATCAGCGCTAGTTATTAGATTGATTAGCATATCGTCACATCATCATGTCAAACAAAACAGTGAAAACTCCATACTGTTATTCTAAATGTTACCTTCAAAACCCTACTTGGTTAAAGATAAATAGTGACTCTATAATCTGCACATTACATTACAAACTATGAAACCATAGCTTTAGAGCTTACTTCACAAAGTAACATATATTACATAATATTCTGTTTGCTTTGCTCTCTGCCACTTATGGTATAATCGTGTCTAACGTAATTCGTGTTTGGAATGCTGAGGGCTTGGCAATCCAAGTATAAAAGCTAATGAATGTTAGAGATAGATGTCGAGTAACTGAGCCATGTAATTGAAGTAATAATAATAATAATAATAATAATAATAATAATAATAATAATAATGAGTTTGACTGTCGACTTCTCTTCCAGACTCAAGGCTGGGGATAGAGAACAAATTGCAGATTGGCGACCAATAACGGTGTAGCTTACGTTAGCTCAGGGTTCATTGTGCCGGACAGAACCCTTCACTGGTTAGGGCTAAAGACGCTAGGCTGTAGTCAGGATAGCAGACAAGTTTGGGAGATTTAACATCGGAAATTTTGATTAGCGAGTTTAGCACATCATATCGATTAGCATCTGAAGATGTAAACCACGTCAGTCTACTTGACATGAACCATATTCTTAAACCATTCCCTCAGCTTTTTGATGATAAAGATTGATATTCTACTGCTTTACAGGCTTGTCCCACCAGTAGTCTGTGATTGACTTGATTTATCCCAATTATTTAATATTTCTCTGATATTCCAGACAGCAGATTTATAAATCTACTCAACGTAAGAATGCATACGATTCACTATTCTGCTGCACAAATTGAATGGAATAACCTGTATGTTTCCTTTAAGACGTTTTATACAGAAGCAAGGGATTCCTAATAACTAGGTTATTAAAAAAAAGTGTAGTACCGAAGTCAATTCTGTTATACAGCACCATCTATCTGTTCACTGTGATAAGACTTTTACGTTCATATTACTTATAAACTTCTAAATGACGATGTAAAATCAGGTTTCTTTTAGATATATAACATTCTGTGATTACTGTTAAATGAATTTGTTAAGTGCTAAATAAAAAAACTACATTATTATGAAGAATATTTATTTACACAAATTATAAAAGTATAGGGTTAAAACTGACAACCAATTTTTGAGTGACTGCTGAGATTATTACGTTCGCTCGAAATGTCTACACTAAACCAAACTGTAACTTCTAATTAGATGCATGGTCAGACTTGCCTATCATAATAAGTGAATTGAGCTACTTTGACTGGAATAATTTTTTCTTGAGGTTTTATCATCCCACGTTGGTCACTTGGATTGATATAAAACGAAAAGCAATGGATCTAAGGTCCTAGGTAGAAGTATTGCTATACACAAGTAAGTGGTTCTAGTTTATGAGTGTAAGATGCTGTAATAACAGATAACGGTTTAAATAAAAGCTTGGAACTAGGGTAATAAGAAAATAATAAAACTAAGGTACTTAATGAAAAACCAGTTAATATATGTACAAATAAAATTGTAGAAAAATGGCTCCGATAGTTTTAACCTCAGTCAAATCGTCTCTTACAACAATTGCTGATTGTACAGGGATGTCATTGTAGTAAGATGTTTCCATTAAGCAACGCTAACTCCCTGTAGCGGAAGGTTAAACAAGATCAGCGATGAAAATAGCAAATCTCGGTCTAAGGATTCCAGCGCTGAGGATAAGGGCTGAAAAATATGGAGCGGGTAAACCATAAACTATTTACAAAGGACTATGTTTCTCATCCTTAAACAACTGTTGTTTGGGCCGCTAAGACTACTACTAGCCCAGTCCATTTTTACGGCACTTCAAGAAGAGATACCTCTTCACAGGTGTGTGAGACCAGCAAGTGACGAATCCACACATACATTTTACCATAAAGGCCTCAAAGTAGGACCTCTTCTACATTTTCCGGTTTCAGTTCTTCGTTCGAGGTTTAAAACTGTGAAATTTCTGGGGACCAAGAAACATTTAGGTGTCTATTGCCTAAGCATTCAAATATAAGGCTTATTGTGATTAAAAGGAAGTATTATCCCAAGTAATTTTTTATGGATAGCAGTTTTGCAAGGTTGGAAAACTACTACAACCACAATAAAACTACAGGTATTTATGAACTGTTGTCTACGCAAGACATTCCAGACCCGTTGGTCAGGCACCATCAGTAGTAACCTACTGTGGCAGAGGACAAAGGAGTTTCAAACTAATGAGAAAATTAGGAAAAGACGTTGGAAGTGGATAGGACACACGCTGATGAAGCAATTAAAATGCACCACGAGGCAAGCCCTAACTTCAAATCTTTGAGGTCAAAGGAAAAGAAACAGACCAAAGAACATAATGCACCAGGAGTGAGAGGCAGACATCAAAAGAACAGGTGTAAGTAAACAAGTAAGTATTTATCCAAAGTGAAAAGTAGAACGAAATTCAACCAAGAGATGATGTCCAATAATCAAAACTTTGTTATTAAATATTTAATAAACAGACTATAAGTACAGCAACGGCTGTATCCAAATACTATGATGCAGAGATTTGTCGACAACAAATTGTTAACATGCATAGGGATTTAGGGTTTTAGAGATATTTGTTTAAAGAAAGCCATGAAACGTTTTTTCATACAAACAGATAGAACGTACTTTTCCATCTTCACTATCAGAAATAAGAAGCTGAACAAACTGTGATTCTTCAGGATTTGCGACTGAATCTAAACATGCGGATAATAAACTCTTTCCAGGAGGTCCAGTAATATCAACAAAGTGCATAAATGCATGACGATAGGTACATGGGCAAGGGAAAGGATGCTTTGTTAAACTATAAGCTAATCAAATAAAATACATAAATCCATGAAGTATCAGGAATGTATAAGAAAGAATGAAGAAACCTCAAGTACATTTATAAAAAGCTATAGCCACTGTTACTACTCAAGAAATGATCACCTTCCAAAAGATCTAGTCCCTAACGTCGTAGTAATTTTCTGCTTCCTTCCTTTTCAATAAGTTTATGTCTAATAGTTCTTAATTGTATCGTCCTGAACTAAACATTTTGTTATCTTTACAAACTGAGACTTTGAAATGAGGCAACTTGAGTTGGCATACTATCATCTTACATTTTAGACCACAAAGAATACAAAATTTGAAAAGTATCTTAAATCACTTTAAAACAATGAGCGAAAACTTGATGTGAGTTGTGTAACTATGTAAACAATCTAATGATCTTAATCGACTTTATTTGAACATATGAGTATCAACTCAAGAAACATTTTCTGTACATTTAACCACTCAGTATAAGGAACAATCTATTAAACAGAGAAGCATCGTTAACGTGTACGTGAACTAATGGTACAACATACCTTAATAAACTTCTGCATACGAAGTAAAATTGTAACTGATTAATTACTGAATGAAACTTAAATGACTAAACTAATGGAATGCATCTATTTAAGAATTTATGAACTATCTAGTGATTGTCAGTTAGTGGGTACAGCGCACAAATATAATTATTAAAAAAATCTAAGAGTAAATGCTACCTAAAAGTTCAAATACTAATCATAAACGATATGGAAGATTGTCATCTATTTTGTTTTGCAGCTTTTTGAAAGTAACATTTACCTTGGTTTTTGTTCGTTTAACAATGGTATGGAATGTGCAACATAAATTTCAATTTTCTTGAAAAATTTACGATAAAACAGTGCTGGAAACACTTACGATCAACAGCATCTAAACTAATCATTTCATTCAAATCAATGTTTAAGAGATCACCAATTTTTTCGACAAGATCTAAAGGGTTTGGTGCAAATATTGCAATATGATCACCAGTTTTATATCTAATACGAAAAAAGAAATTACTAAATAATACAATTTATGAAATTGACACTAACAATATATATACCTGTTGATTCTAAATAAAACGATTAACATTTTATGTTGATACTCTTGGTTAAGATATAATTTCAGTTCATTTAGTTTTATAAAACTTAACACTCCTAAAACAAAAAAGCACTCCAACAGACAGTAAGCATGCCACTTTGATGAAATAGTAACTATTAAAAATGCAAAAAAATACAATCGGAAATATAGGGGGTTGTAGATTATGAAAAAAACTGAGTGATTTTCAAAAGAAAACTTTGAAGAACGCTAAAATAACAGTTCTGCTTCAGTCTGAGCAAGCGGACAGCATCACAACCTACATAAAAATCAAGTGACTTTTGTGGCGTATATGTATTCGGTGCCTCTTTGTACCAATATTTATGTGTTCAAATAAATAAGATAACAGCTGTTTGATGATAAACTTTTCATCTTATATTAAGACAAGGACATTGAAATCTCGCTGTTGATTGCGTTTTTTTAAAAAAAGGATAGACGCTGTTAAAGTTTTAAAAATTAAGACTACAAAGTTAAGAAGTGCTTTTTCAAAGGGCCTGTGTACTAAATGCCATTGTTAATTTAACTAGATAAGTGTAATCAGGAAGTCAAAGGCTGACAACAAAATGGGAGTATAGAAAACTATAATCAACATTATTCTTAAGACAATTGGAGCTATATCAATCAAAAACTGTGGTTATTTTATTCAATTAGTATTTCTCATACTTACACAGAAATTAAATAGGCATTTTCTTTAAGAAACATTTGCACATACTATCGTCAACAAATGTATGCCAGGCAGACTTTAGGATCAAAAGGATTAAACCACTTCCTCGCAAAACAGCTAATTGCTGCAGGAGAGATGTCTATCTCTAATCGAGAAAAGGAGTATATTAAGCATAAGTCTACTATGTCTTTCTGTTTTATTGTAAAATACTAATAATCAATTACGTGTCTTCGTGGGACGACCGTGTGAAAAGTGCTGAGGTTAGGGCAGGATATAAAGACGGTAGGTCGGTTGTGAATCTTCATCAGCTGAGGTGGTTTCGAAATGTAATGCGTATGAATAACCACAGTCTAGTCCGATAAATGATCTTAACTGGTGCAGAATCAGATTAGGATGAAGCTAAAGACATCTAAACTATATATAAATCCCCCAAATGCCCTACTATGGCCGAGAGTGGGGAGAGTCCGCTCTTCCTCTCTCGAAATGCTCTCACATGGTTACGTACATACAACTACTCTCAGGGAAGTCCTACTCACTACCTTCCCGCGGCGTGGGTTTCAATTACGAAAAGGAGGGCGAAAAGCAAATGTCCGGCGCTTTAACCATGTTGGTGGATATGGAGGATCCACCAAGAGGGGTTGGCAAGTACTTATTCTAAACCAGTGGTGCACATGGGCTCCAGGATCCAAAGGAAACAAATGGCGAATGAACCTATTGTTAGTCACCGGCTACCATTGGACTGCATCTCCTCACGTTGCTCTACTGTCTTGTGGACTAGATCTTTAGGTTGAAGGGTCCGGGTGTGGCCTCCTAAGATAACCACGTGCTCCGGACTGGGCACCCGGGCAGTATCACAGCCCTCGCGCAAATCGAATGATTTATGTGGCGCATATCTATTTGGTACCTGCTTGTACTAATGTTTATGTGTTTACATAATAGATAATTATAAATATATGCTCGATTCTACGTCATCTTTAGCTGACCAACCTGCGAAAGATCCTGTCAAAAGATATCATTTTATTCGTTACAGTCGACTAATGTATAAAATTCTGGAGTAAACACTACATGCTGCTTCGATACAATTGCTATAAAGTTTCCAACTTCATATTCTTTCAATTAAATAACCGTAGCTAATTGATGGGGCATATACAGATAGAAAGCTGAACAGGAAATGCTAGATTTTTAAAATAACATTTTTCAAGTTAATATGAAGTCAGAAATAATAGGAATACATAGTCGCTGGCAGCATTGACTAATCAATATGAATGCTAAATAAGAAGTCCAATTCAGTTTTTTTTCACTATGTACCTCTTCACCACAAAATAAGATCTGACCAAAAATCGATACGGTAATTAGAATTCTATCATTAAAGCAAATATAATAAAAATAACTAATGACGTATGGCGACTAAATTGAAGAACCTTGAACTAGAGTATCAGTGATAATGAACCTTAATGTTCAATCTACACTGCAAACTATAAAAATAATTCCATTTTCATATTAGAAACATAATAAAATGGTGGTGATAATGAATAAACATACCTAAGTTGAGAAGCAGACACATCCAATTCAATGTGGCGACAAGAACGTGAACTCCCATGATACAGTTCTTGATTTTTAACGACAGAAGCATAGAAATAATTGTCGTTTTCATATGGTCTAAAATTTAATTCACGTCATATGAATAAAATATGGTAAGCCTGAAAAAGTATGGGACTAACTTCTTTCTTATCTTTGTAATTTATAAATAGGTCTGAATAGGGTACAAACAAAACGTTTGAATAAACAACATTGTCAAAAACGACTCAAATAGAATGTCTTACTAATTCTGAATAAGTTTTAAGATCACATAAACTGTTGAATCACAGATGAAAACCGTGATATATTTTAGCTTCACAAGTCAATTATAATGGTTGTTAGATCATCTAAAACCTAAGAGAAAACACTGGTCTGCTAAATAAGGTAAACCTGGAAAAGCTATATAACACGAGGATTTTGTACGTTATGCAACAAAATTGTGAGTTCAGTTGGCCCACAGTCACAACTCATTTACCCACTTTCCTCAAGCAACCTGAAGACCTTCAATCATTAGTAAAGTTGAAAAGGCTGTAAGTAACCTAAAGCAAAGGGGAGCATCAGGGCCTGATAGATTAACCCCTGAAGCTTTTAGGGATGGTGGTCAAGTTTAGACAGTTAGATTAACTGAAATCTTAGCTAAAATCTAGGAAATAAACATAAGCCCACCTAGCTGGTCTCGATCGCTAATCGTCCCAGTCCGTGAGAAAGGACGAAAGTCTTCTTGCGACAATCACACAGGAATCACTTTAAATAATATAGTGTCTACAAGATTAGCCTCAATAATACTTCGACGTCTGACTAGATCTCATGAAGAACAAACCCAAGAAAACCAGGCTAGTTTCAGATCTGGACGTGGATGTATAGACCGAATATCTACACTTCGGCAGATTCTGGAACACAGATAAACCTATCGACGTCCAACCGTAGTTGTATTCGTTAAACTTAGGGCAGCGTTCGACTCTATTGATCGTGAGGTTCTATGGCAGTGTCTGTCATTCAAAAGTGTACCAAAGAATTACATTAACCTTATACAGGCTCTCTACTCGAAAACTTCTGGTCGAATAAGAGCGTTTGACGAACTGTTGTTGGAAGTGGTTACTCCAAGGGATGTTTGTCAGGGTTGTCCGCTTTCTCCATTTATATTTAACCTTGTCACAGACATTCTTTTGAAGATAACACTTTCATCGTCCGACTTTACGGGAGTCGATCTTCTACCAGGAGATTCACTTGATGATTTCAAATACGCAGATATGGTTCACTTAGGTGAAGACGCTGATGAATTTCAGTCTTCTGACCACCTTAAGTAACAATATGGTCATGCTTCGGATATGGTTTTCTCCCTTCAAATGTAAAATATTACTTCAGGATTACTAATTTGTTCGAGTGATTCATCTTTGTCTAACACATATTTGAGATAACTGAATTCCAAGTTTCTAAGAATGCAAATCATTCGTGTTCACGAATCCAATAAATTATATGATTGTCAGTTATCAAAACTCTGAAGAACGTCCAGGTATAAAATGGGAATGATAATTATTTGATGCATCTAACCAAAAGCACTACAAATAAAGTACTTAACCATGACCCCCTCTGCTTAATAACGGAAAACATTTGCACCGACTTAATAGGCTTAGTATGTTAAACATACCGTCTACTTTTGAGATTACCTTAAAAGTCACTTTACATTAGAGGATTTGATATCACTCCTTTCATTTTGTCCAAACTTTCCTTGCATTATTTCTTTTGTTTAATGACACAACAAGGTGAAAGTTGAAACGATGTCTATCGGCATGGTATACAATAATGTCAGAATGAGATTGATAACATTTTTAGTCACTTGGGTCAAAAACACAAGTCATTGTTTGTAAAAGCTGTGTAATGTAACAATATTACTTACAAGTAACTATTATTTTGTCATATAATTTATCTGCTCGTACTTTACTATCTAAGAAAGACTTAACTTTCTTTAATTGATTATTATTTGTCAGGGTACATGAAAGCAGTTATTTTACATCTACTTAGTAATAAAAAACCACTGTCCGTTGATAGTTTCACTTTCAAGGCAAGTTCGTAACGAATGTCATGTAACAGTTTAAAGATCGAGACACAATCATCAGAAAAACAGAATACCTGAGTGCACAACCATTTTCAATAACTTTATCATCAGGCTTTACAAATAAAACATTTCGGGTGTAGTTAAACCTTAACCGACGCAAAAGTTTATTATTTTCAACATGAAATAGTTCAGTTAACTTTTTCATGTATATGTTATTTTGCAATCGTAACACAAGACTTATAAAAACATAGGGTCAAACTCGTCAGGGAATATCAGTCCCACCAAGATTGAACGTACACCTTGCAGGCGAGTCCCAAGTAGCACAAAACACAAGTCCAGAGTTTTCTCTTGAATACCTCAAACCACCACCTTACATACATATAACTCTAATACCTGATGAATTTATTGAAAACAACTATCAACTCAATCAATAAGTTTTTAATTTCACATATTTGTTTAATATTATTGTAGAGTTGCATGAACATACATTTTTTTTCAATTTAGGATCATGTTCTATTGTGTTTTCATCTCGTTAATGATACCAAAACTAATCTGTGATTATGAACATCAAAAACGGCGAATAAACATGGCATTTACCATGAATTCTCGTTCAAAAAAGTTAGTCTACTGTGATTTTTAATTAACGAACCCCGTGGGATAAGAATATATATGCGGCGCAAAAGTACATGTGCAAGCAAGACTATGAATTAATTTAAGTTGGATCTTGAGATCGCTAGAATCCAACTCAGAGGTGTGTAAACAATGAGCTGGCAGAAACCGGATGGTCCTAGGTTCTGTTTTTGACTTTGTCGCGTACATGTGAACACTGTCGAGTTTTTGTATACTAGGATGAACGAGATAGCTGTCCAGCACTTCCTATGTTTTTAATGACTGATGTCATTACGTGATGGAAACTACAACAAATCGATCTTACCTTTAGAAGCAACTCAATTTATTATTACAGTTTTGTTTCGTAGTTGTTTTAAGAATTATAGAAGTTTCTGTTAGTATTCGATGGTGAGAGATATTGATTTACTCTTTAGTGACGACAGTAACAGCTTAAGTCTACTTTGGAAGGATACCCTGATGGAAATTATTAATATACAGCTTAAACTGATTATTTTGCAATTCTGAGTCTGAATGGTTATGAACAACTTTAGTGCTTAAAAATGAAAACTTACAACGTTTCCATAACGTGAGCCTTATTTATAAACATATTCACGAAGTGCGAAACAAGCGGGACATTCCAGTTAATACATTTTAAAGAGTATATTCGTTTATACTGCTTGTTTAAGTAATTTCTATCATGGTCATTTAGATTAAAAAAGCCGATCAATAACGAAGTTAAGTGACTCCTCCAATTTATAAACGTAGATTCTAATTCATCCACTTCATCTCCCAAAGTCAGTGCTTGTAAACGTTTACCTCCATGTTTGGTAAGCAAACGGTCGATTGACTTTCCAACAGCATTGAAATATGTATACATACTGTTGCCCAATCCGAAAACCTATAATCAGATAGGATTTTAAAGTTTTCAAAAATTAGACAAACAAAGATTTTGTCCATGAAAAGTTATATCTACAACCCATTACTTTTACATATGTTCATTACTTGATGTACAGTAGAGATTTCTACAGAGATATACAGAGATTTACACCAGGTTACACTGAATCACTAAAAGTTAGTAAGCTTATGAAAAACATGGAACTTTTAAACTCCTTTTCACAACTTTGAGGTTAAATCACAATTTCGATGAAATGCTGACACTTCCAGACTTTTTGAAAATGAAAACAAACCTCGAGTTATCATTATTGACGGTAACTTCATATCAGTAGATGCAGACTATTCGGTTGGGGTCGGCGTGTCTATCGCAACCAATGGTTGGAGACTCTTGGTGACATGGTTCAGGATTGATCACAATGGCGTAGGTGTATACACTCTCTATCTTCCCTTAAAATAAGAGATTAAAATCGCTTCATATCTTTCTTTCTACTAACTAATTCTATCTTCCTGTACTATATCCTTATATGCAATCTTTCCTTTATATTACCACCATTGACTTAACCACTCCTATGAATCCGGTGTTCATCTTGCGGTGCTAATGCGGTATGGCAACTTGGACCGATGCATATATGTGCCTGGTCTTACATTGTAGCTGACTGACTGAGTAGCCACAATTCATAATCATACTGTTAGTCAGTAAGCAGAAGAGCTGTATTTTGGAGTGGTTTTATCCGTTTGCATAACACAACTGAGTTTTCTGGACTAGTTAAAGATCAGGGTTTTTCAATTCTATGACTAATAACTAGGGCTGAAATAAGAAACTTATTAGGTGTTATATTGTAGGCGACCTTTATGATTTCACTTGATCGTTATAATCAGTCCACAACTAGATATGAAAATTTACATCTTTGGAGCATTATTCTCATCAAAGTAGAAAACTAGTTAATTAATATTTTGCATCATAGTCTCATAATGAGTAGAGTGCAAAAATCTTTAATTATATAGCGCCTAACAGCTGGTCAACCAATCACACAATACTGCATGAACTTGTATACCGCCAAACTCAACTTGACTGCGACCTGTCAATACACGGTCAGACAAGCTTCGTTACAAGGAATATATGAATTAACAACTTTTTGGGTTTTAATAAGTTACAATTAATCGACAAACACAACAGTCTAAACAATTTATTTTGAATGTTAAGGTATTAAGACAATTCTGACCAACAACTTGTTTTCCCTCATACATATTTTGCGTTATTTAATATCTTTATAGTAAAACCCAATACTTTGAATCGGCATCCTGAAAGAAAAAAACTTAACTTATGCATAACAACGATTAATGAATACTAAGAGTATTACCGCAAAGCGTAAATTATCCAACTTCTGGTAAGAATTCTTCAGATTATCCATAAAATGTCGAGCACTATCTGTTGGTTCACCTTCACCATAAGTTGCAACAACGAACAATGCTACGCAGGTGTCCAGCATAGACAAATTTACTAATATGTCCTAATAGAATAAATAAAGTTCTTATGTTATATATATGAAAGATTGTAAAATGAACTTCGGCATAACTGTAGGACAGAATAAATCTCGGGTACTCAAACTGATAAACAACGTATGAAAATATCGACTAATGTAACTCACTGGCTAAGTTATATCTACCCTAGCTTAAATCACACTTTCCCATATAAGGGCTAATGATATTGTCTGCCACACTGAAGTGGGAAAAAATGGTTGAAACCCACAACTCTATGGTTGAAAATCGAGTGATTTAACCACTAGGTTACGTTAAATGAAACAAAAGCCTATTTAGTTTAGAACAATATACATACATTGCATTTTAAGTGAATTAGGTTTAATCAAAATAATTATAAAATTAGCAGTCGTATTTTCTGCTAAATGTAGTAGTAAGTACATGAAATATAGAAATTAAGAACGATAAAATATACGCTATCTTCGGAATTACTGGTAGTAGTCAGTATCCTAGAAAGATATTCCCAAACTGAGGTGTATAACGAAGACGTAGATCATGGAAATTCTACGGTAACTACCAAAAAGGAATGATATCATACAATTTTTCACAACAGAAATGTAAAATTGAGAATTTATGCATCACTGCTTCACGAAATCACCATTTATTCCGTCCATGAATACAGAACTTTTAAAATTCTGTTCAGAAACATGTAAAATCAGGAACCTAATGAGCCTTAGTAGTTTGTGTGAACTGTTGGTGCGCAATTTTAAACAGATGTATAAGATTAGATTATACTAGCTATCCGCAAAGTTACTTTTTAGGTACCAAGACCTCGCATCCACATATCAATTCGTAGATAACTTGTTGATTATTATATACACTCAATAAGGACTACATTACATTTGGTTTTGAATAAAATTGCCAAATAACTTGTATGAAAATAAACAGATAAAACCCATTTCTACTCACACGTTTATTTCGTTCACTTTGTTGAGAGAAATGAAATATCATGTTTATGGTACAAGAGTGACAGCTCTAAAGCAATTGTGTGACACAAAAAATTTACAGTAGTTCCTATTGTTAATCAAATGAAGCATAATCCAACCTGTAATATAACTGGTATTCTATGATACTTGGGTAACAAGAACCAATTAAATGACGAAAGACATCTAACTGTGTAATAATTATGTACTAAATACTTTAATCGGGTAAAGAAGCATTTACAAATGACAATGGGTCGAGATGACCACATATACCTTTCATAATCACGTAAGGTATATGTTGTTTTACTTAAGTAAAACAACTTTGAGGCTTTAATATTTTTTCAAGGAGAAAAAAACCAAAAGCAACAGTCAATAGATTTAGACGAATATTACGAAGAGAGATGAACGTTTGACTCCTAGAATGTATGAAATGATAGGCTAAATTATTCAAGGAACAACATATCTAATTTTTTGTTCCTCTTATTTTCCATCATACAATACCTTACCTAAACGCATAACAAATGGAAGGAACCGTAGACAAAAATTTAGCTGATGTGGAAGCAAAGTTTTGCATTTTAACTTATCAGTCAGATTATGAGCCATAATTGAAGTGTGAGGGCTGATGGTATAACGCTGTTGACCAAGCCGAAATAGATGGAAAGGAAGTAGAAGCTCGCCTTAACCAATAACCCACTAAGTAAAGCTTCAAACAAAACTGATTAGATCAAGTCCAAACAGTGCACTAAGGAACGAGTGTTTAAAAGAAAACTCTATTTATTTCTAGTTAGTACTATAATGATGATTAAATCAAGATATTTGTCAAGTATGATAATAAATAGCCCATACAAATGAACATAACGACAGATTATTGAACATATGTTCAATAATACTGAACACATTTGCCGATAATTCATATATTGAAAAACTCATTTCTTCCTAAGTATTCAATACACCATGAGATGGAATAACAGGAGAGATTGCACATTTGGATCTTACCATGTTTGTTTGTCTCAAATCCACCACCAAGTTACGTACGCCGCAGTTGTGAAGATGATGACCAAGATTAATAGCAAATTTTTTAGCAGTCCCTGTTTGAGATCCGTAAAATATAGATACTTTGATATCCTAAATACGATAAACAATCCTTTAAACGAATATCTTACACTTCGATTGATTACTGCTAAAAGGTCTTCATGATTAGAACGTTGTAGTTCGCACTCAGCACTAATACTACGAATCTTTTGTAGATGTTTAAGTAAAATTCGCTTCAATTTATTGAAAGTTGTACACAACACAACGGTCACAACAACGACAGCATAAAATCCAAAGTTATCCATTAATACACTTGGAGGGAATATCTAAAATTGGGTCCAAGCATTGATAATAAGCCGTTATATTGAGACGGTTTTACATTGCACATCAGCGGCTGAAACATAGAGACAAGGGGAAATGACGATTTCAAGTCTATTAACAAACGTCCATGAAAGAAAATGCTTAATCACGTAAATCATGCAGCGATAAAGATGAGTATCTGTCTCAGTTTTCAGATGTTACTTTGACATGGGAGAGAAAAAACAAGAGGAATAGCAGGCATGCCTGTGAATAAAGTTGATGTTAACATTTATGGAAATGTTGGATAGGGGAAACTGTTCAAGTGCATAAGTTTTAGTTGTGGCATATAAAAGCATGTGGTTATAGTCCTGTTTAAACAGTAATAATACTTACTAATTAGTAATAATTATTACTTCGTTCGAAGGGCCTAGGAGTTGACTTAGACCACGATTGAAGGGGTAATTTCGGGACTTTTGTGCTGTTTTACCCAAATTTTTGTAAAACTATAATTTATGAACAACCATTTAGCAACGCTGAAGTGACCTTGAGTGTCCCCTTGTAAATAGAATTTGTATAGTTGGGCATGACAAACTTATTTTGTTAATAGTTTCTGATATTATTTGCGCTTATTTCGTCAATTTTCACAGTTTGTTTATTTACCATGAAAGAATTGCTCATGTTGTTTAAGTGCATGACTTGAACACTTTTCGGTGTGTTACACTCAGCATGACACTATTGACTGCTCGTAAGTACACTACTATACACCTGACTCTCGTTCTCCATTGCCTTTGGTTATTATAACTGAACTATGAAATATCTATTATCTACAATTATAGACTGCAGCCACATTTGAAGGTAAGACGGCCTGCTTGAATATCTGTGCTACCTGTTTCTGCCATCTAATTATTAGATCGAGTTGTTTGTTTTTCATTTGTTTTAACCTACCATTATGTCCATTATTCGCATAACTTATTCAGGCGCGTTTATGAAGTACCTACGGCCTTTCGCTGCACGTTACAAAAAAGTACTATAAAAGACATCGTAGTGGTTGGCAATATGTGTTAAAGAGAATGAACATTATTCGTATGTGGGTTCCCGAGCTGAAAAATTCTAACTGCCAATCACTAATCAACAAAGTGGACTATCTGCAATTCCTACTAAGTCAAAATATGTATCGTAATGGTGGTGTCATCACAATTCAAGAATCTTGGTTAAATGATTTACAGGTTGATTGCTTATTATTTTTACGTGATTTCGAAATCTATCGTCAGGATCGATCAAACAATAAAAAGAGGTATGGTGGCGGTGTAGCTACGTTTATAACGTAAACTGTTGTCGATCTTCGCTTGTGTGTTTTAAGTTTTCAAATGACTTTATCGACTGTCTAACTCTAAGATGTCGTCCAAAACATCTGAATAAATACAAATATGTTTGTGTTACTAATAGCTACGTGACTCCAGACTGCACATCATCTGCGTTATCTGATTTCTTTGATGAATTCACTGAGTTCGCTGTTGCTGCCTTCAGTGATTCATTTTCATTTGTATGTGGTGATTTCAATTCATGTGACTGTAGCTTCCTTACTTCACTAAGTCACCAAAATGTAGTAGATTTTCCTACTCGTTTGGATGCTCATTTAGACTTCGTCTTCATTAATGATGTGGGTACATATGCGACTCGTAAACGTGCTCCATTGTCTAGCTCGGATCACTGAATAATTCGTGTTCTACCTAAAGTCTATGGAAAGTCTGGGAAGAGTACACTCGTACATCAAACCAAGAAAGTCAAGTATAGGAATTACTCAGAAGAAAATATCCGAAATCTGAAAAACATGTTTCATACGACTATCTGGGAAGTATTTACAGATGACTCATTGGAAATCCCTACTGATGTTATCACTAGTTACCTTAAATTCTGTTTTGATATTTGTTGTCCCACTGAAACCATTTTTGTAAGTTTTGATCGACTTACATCTTCACAACTAAAACGACTACGGGGGATGAAAGAAAGAATGTAAAAGTAGAAGTACTCAAATGAAGCTAGTAAGCTAAATGTATCTTATTTGGAAAGTTGTACAGTTTTCCGGGTTTTTTACCCCCTTTTTATTTTTCTCTGTTACTGTTTTTTGCGTAATTAAATTGTTGAAATACGCTGTGCTGAGAATTCTATATTGTACCAAAATATAATATTGATTGAAGCCATTAATAATAATAACAATAATAAATTTACGTCTAGCCATATAAAGCCCGTCTATTGTGATACTGACAATATGATTCCTAATAAAACCATCTAAATATCAATCCGGTTGAGTAGTTTGCTACGGTGAAAATTGTATCATTTGTAACAATTTGCTCTTGCCTGTAAACTGACATGCCTTATGTAACGAACTGTTATTTGAGGTTAAATTATTATTATTATTAACTATGAAGTGAATCACATTAAATGCTCCAACACACAATATTCACTAGAAGCTGGTTGTTCTTATACTTTATTTTAGAGACAGTCTTATATTAATTGCTTAGGATGTTGAAAGATAACTTTATTAACTCCAAACATTTTAAGAACTTAACACTCAAATTTTTCTTATTATTATTATCATCAGCTTTATTGAATATTATATTTTTGGTACAATATAGAATTTTCAGCGTATAGTATTTCAACAAGTTTCCGTTTCTTTCTTCTTTGTCGGTTCTGGCGATAAATACCGAATGATCGCCAGTTAGATGTTAGCAGTTAACTAAATGAACATCTGAATAATGTGCATTCTTTTCGCTGTATATTGCCAGCAACCACATTGGTTCTTATTGAGTTTCTTGTAACTTTGACAACGAAAGGTTGTACACTTTTCAGAAACGCAGCAGAATAGATCATGCAATTAATAAACATAATATTAAACATATATTAAAATAAACAAAAATAGATAACTTGTTGGAATATCTAGACGGCAGGAACAGGTAGCCCAGATGCTCAAGCAGGCCGCTCTTGTTGTGCAATATACCTGTTTTCTTCACTGTAGCCTTCGGCAGGTTTTCGTCTGGCGTGAAGGTACCTTGTGTATTGGTGTGAGGAGCAGTGACACAATCCAAAAAAATTACTGGTGAAAATGTGAGCCAAAGAATCAATACGTACGTAGAATGCACTTTCACTTAATACTCAAACTGAAACAAACAAGAAGGGAAATAGAGGCAAACTTATGGGGAAATTCATAGGGAAAATCGATGTGAATATTGTCATTATTGCATACAAATGTCACATTTTCCCCAGTTAGAGGTAAAGTGTCAGACTGTCAAACAGTTAATTCCTATCTAAAACTGACTTACTAGTGTACTATATACTTCGAAAATTCGCTTTCAATTCCCTCGGTCGTAAAAATCATATGTATGCTGGACAATAAGTGAGAACAAATTATAGACAATTTCTACATATACAGTGTTCAAGAGCATTTACATAAAGGGAACAGTGAAACGTCCATATCGCGAATGACAAAGAAGTTGCTTTTAACCATAATCTAGCAAAAAATTAGTGAGAGGTTTGCGTACAAATATTAAGAAAGCTTATTTGTTGATACAGGGTACTCATGCACATCAGCCTTTACCCACTACATGTAGTTCGTTTCAACGTACTCGATAAAATTGAGTGTAATGGGGATGACTTAAGGAACATTATTTTAACAAAAAATATTTACACTAAGGGTTACTTATATAATAGCAGTGTTTTTATTACTTGAATTCCAAAACAAAACAGCAACTGAGTACTATCGATATCTTTGTAAAGTACATACTTACTCCTGTTAACACACACGGAAGAGCATAATCCTCCACCAGCATTCTCTGCCAAACTCTGTCATGGGCAATCCCCTCTAGTTGCTACTTAGTTTTATAATGTCTGCCTCCGATTCCCGGCGCAGTGTGTTCCTTAGTCTTCCTCGTTTCCGTCTCTTTTTAGGATTTCAAGTTAGCACCCGGCTTTTTAATGCCGTTTGATTTCAGTAATGTGTGTCCTATTTATGTTCAAAGTCTTTACATTGATCTCTCTTTAGCCGGAAGCTAGTTTGTTCTCTTCCACAGTAGACTGTTGCTAATGGTATCCGATCAACGAACATTGAGTATCTTGCGTACACAATTGCTTATAAAAACTTGTAATTTATTGTAAAAGCGTACCCTTACACTAACTGCGACAAAAATGCCTTCCGAAAAAAAGACGTGCACTGTAATGTTCAAGCGCATTTTTTGGCCGGTTCGACGGCAGAACTTTCTACTTGATCTTCAACAGTTTTATTCAACCCCATTTAGAGTACGGAAATATGGCGTTTCTTGACTTACTACAAAAGGATAAAGACGCTCTGGAACGTATCCGACAGCGAGTCACGAAATCAGTTTGGTGACTCAAACTCAAGTCTTATGAAGAGAGCCTCTAATCAGTGAACATTTCTACCAATTGGAGTATAAGCATCTTAGAGGTGACCTTCTAATGAATTACAGCATCCTTAACAATTCTGAGTATACATTTAAATAACTCCTTGAGCTTAGTCCTGTGTTTGACCGTGGCGCCATGATGTGTCCTCACTTACATCAATGTACGTAGACTACTGCAGTCACCCATTCGATTAGAAAAATATGATTTTGGATAGAGGCAATTCCGAAAACACCAGAAAATTATTAGGAGCTTGGCACTCTGGTCAATCAGCAATCAACAAGCACACTGAAACCGATCGAGTTTCTCGACCAGTCAGGAAATTTATGCACAATCATAGGAGCGAAAATCAAGTCAGTGGGAGATACAACCCGAACAAAGAAGTAAACGATGACAGGTTAAAGGTCAACAAGAACCAATCAACAACGAGGTGTACAGGACAAGATGTGCATCACATGTGGAGAAATTCGAACACTTCACTTCTATCTGATGTTTGTGCTGATGATGTCGTCTAGAAGAACGGTGAAAGCTCCACAACTAAACCATCCAGCTCAGAGACCGAAACTACCAAAATCATCCACTGAGCTACCTAGGACGGAACGTTGAGGTACTCCAATAAGTACTGGTCTCCAGGTGGAGCACTTGGAATTTATTCTTACTTTCTGTCTACTAGGAAATCCTTAAGCCATTTAAAAGGAGGTCCGGCAATATCAAGGTTTACTAACTTCAATCGCAGTCTATTTGTTGGTACATTGTCAAAAGCCTTACTGAAGTCTATGTAGACAACATCCACTAAGTTTCCGTTGTCTAAAGCTTTTATCCAAAACTTCCTTGCTATAAGGAGGTTTGTTGTGCAAGACAAACCCTTTCTGAAACCACGTTATTCACTGTTTAATAAGTTGTTGGTATCCACATAAGTCATAACGATCTTTTTGACTATTATTTCCAATATTTTAACTACAACACGGGTGAGGCTTACAGGTCTGTAGTTCGATGGAAGTTGTCTTGGTCCTGTTTTATGTATGGGAGTGACGATTGACTCCTTCCAGTCCATAGGTAACACACCTTGGTCAAGTGACATATTGAATATCAGCCAGTGGTGCCGCGATATATTGTGCAATATGTCTCAAGATTTTGGGGTGTAGTTCATCTGGTCCTGTTGACTTTACCATGTTTAAGGTGCTAAGAGCCTTAAGCACATCGTCTTGATCGAAGTCCACGATGAGTAGGTGGTTTTTTGACCTTTTATTCTGATCTAGTTCTTTGTCTAGAAAAGGTTCTTGAATGAAAATTGCCTCAAAATAGTCAGCCATAGCTTCCGCTTTTTCCTGATCTTCCTCTATCATTTCAGATTCACTCCCTTCTTTTATTAGGTTGAGAATCCAATGATGCATCTTTGTTCTGTAGTTTATGTATGAGAATATTCTCTTAGGCTGCTTGAGTGCAGATTGTGACAACTGCATTTCATATTTTCTTTGAGCTTCCCGAATTTTAGTTATGCACATGTGTCTTACCGATATGTAGCGCTTCATTGCACCTGCTGTGCCAAGGCTGATAGCAGCATTCCAACATTTCTTCTTTTGTCTTAGTAAACGTCGAATATCCCGGCCCATCCAGGGATGACCGTGCTTCTTCTTCTTTGGGACTGTCCAGGGTATGTATTGGTGAGTCACGTGATTGTATAACTGCCTGAAATGAGTCCATGCCTCTTGTATTGATACCCTTGAGTCAATTTCCCAGTTTTCAGCCGATGCTGCGGAGTTGATTGCCTCCATATCTGCCTTCCATATATTAGGACAGGCAACTGTTTGACAGGCAATCTCAGCCATGAATTCAGATAATATGACTGCATAGTCACTTCTCCGTAGTGGTGGGAGGAAAGTCATTTGACCAATGTCATCACCATGTGTGAAGGCTGAATCTAAAAGAGAAGAGTTCCTTAAGTCATATCTTGTGGGATTTATGTGTTCGAGTAAAGCTAATCCAACTGAGGTTTCTAACAGTTTGCAATCAGATGACGCCATCGATGACCCCAATTCTGATTGAAGCAAGTTAGTATACGTGCATTAAAGTCGCCTACTACAAGGCTTTTACCCTTGTTACACCATGACTTTGGTTTACTTAGGAGAAAATCATCTACTACACATTCTGGACTGAGATATATTACAACTAATTCAATATCTTGCCATCTATATTTCAGCTTGCATCGCACCAGATCACATGTTTCTGAAACACGTGTCACTGACCCGACTGCTCTTATAGTTAAGGTACTTTTCGTGTACAGGACAATCCTGCCTCCTCTACAGTTTACTCTGTCAGCCCTAATGGATAAAAAACCAGCCAACTGAATTTCATTATCTAATACTTCTGACGTTAACTAAGTTTCTGACACAGCCATAACATCCAGTCTTTCTTTATCCACCATTTTTTTAGTAGGCTATGAGCATTTGTGTAGCATATCTTTAAGTCTGTGGAGAACTTTCCCTTATCATCCAAAGTAGCTTCGAGATCGTTTTGCTCTAAACTTTTACCATTTAAAAACCCTCAAGAACGAGGTTTTCTTCACTGTTTCGGCGGCGTTCGTTTATTTCTACTTCTGCAGCTCGTCTCTTAATACGATCAGCTAGGGTGAGATCCTCATGGACGTATATTCCGGATCCAATCAGTTTACGTGAGTTGTCTAGAGTCAGATTCCTTTCTTCAATTGTGGCAAATGTAACCTTCGAAAGGTGGCTTTCCTGAGAACTTTCATAATCCACTTTTGTCCTATTCTATAAAGCTTACAGATGCTAACTATGATTCACCAACTGTTTTTTCTTTTTATTCTTTTATTAATAATATGCTCAGGTTCCTACATTGAGTTATCAGTGATCCACTGTTACTAGATACGGAAGCCCGTTAAGCGTTCCGTTAAGAACCACTTGAAACAATTTGAGGCTCATAGACTGGCGCCAAGCATAAATGGTACGGTAGCGTCCCTCAAACTTTTGCTGTGTTCTTACGCAACAAAAGTACCATTTCCAATCTCAAGAACCTGTTTTGAGCTATACGTTCGGTATATTACCTTTCTTTTTGAGTTTTATCCAACTTAATAGTTAACTGTAGTTTTGCCTCAGCTTATAAGCTCCCGACCCGAGCTCCCTCAAACATTGGTGGTCATTTGACTCCGGGACCCAAGCTGTCAATTTTGGGGAAAATTTGGCTCATTTTGGGAAACTCGAGTTTCCCCAAAATTGAGAGCTTGGGCTTAAGCTTATAATTATAGCCTATAATTGTAGGCGGAAAGTAGACAATTCGGAGTGTATTTAGGCGAAGAAAGGACAATGTGGCGTATATTTAGGCGGAAAGTAGACAATTCAGCAACGATTGAATGGGTACTATTCGGTTCTTCAGCTTTTCACGTCATAGCTAATTTTAATGTATCCTAACCTTTTGCACCACCCGTTTTTATCCATTTTTACTTGTTTTTAGTGCATTGTTTTTTCACGATCTTCGGCTTTTTCCAGGGTCTATACAACACTTTACGTCACTATAGTCATGAAATTTCATGCAAACGACCCAGCTGCAGTTTTACTTCTATATCTGGCATGCAGTGCAAAGGTTCGTTCCACGGAGCGTGCACAGATCTCACAGTAACTGCTTAAAACAGACTCAGTAAGTCGGATCATAGATGGGTACGTGTCATGTGCAACACGAATGCTATGGTTTTTCTGAACATCATCATTGTCCTGTTAACAAGTCTGCGAAATAAGTTGTCAGGAACCTTGAAAAAAGTCTTAAAACGGGTGGACAAACAAAGACGCTCAATGAAAACAAGGAGATTAATCTCGACAGCGCTACTATCGTTGGAACATCTGATAACACTAGTGATGACATGCTGAAATTCAGCACCACCGTACCATCGATGGTATTACACTTCATCAGCAGACTTGAATCTTCTAGCACAGGATCCTTGAATGCAACGGTAATTCTCTCGTAATCATGAATCTTAAAGAAAACCCTGACCTCCCCCTCAGTTTGCAGGACAAACATGACAGGATGCTCTGGGAAGAGTTAAACAAGAAGCCTGAACTTCCGAAAATAGAGGATTACCTACTAGCTAGTTACTTATTGAAATCAGATGGAAATGTAAGAATACTGCCTGACACCGTATTCTAAGGATAATCTCATCCGGAGCATCCCTAAGGAATCTCGTGAGTTTTCCCGCTGAAGAAATATCATCATGCAAGGTGTACCGGAAAACTCGGACCCTGACCACACAAAGTGATATTCGAGAATAGAAATTTATCAAGCAATCCTAGAAGCTCAAAAACATTGACTCAACAAGTGATGTGACTAGCCAAGAAAGATGGGAATTCTAGACCCTGGCTAATGAAGATAATCTTCTCATCCAACCATATGGCGGGTGCAACTTTGGGAGCGTTTCGTGCCAATAGACATCGGTTGCCAACTAGAATCCATACGCATCCGGATAAGCCGCATGATGCCATGATCAAGCACGAAGGCAAGTTGGAGCTGACCATTCCACTTGTAAGCTGTCTTGATCATAAAAAACGTGGAAAGGACAGGGGCTACCAACACGGGAAACCTTGTATAGGTAGGGTACCTGTCCATTTACATAAGGCTCATACAAACAAACAGGGTGGGGAAGCTCACGCGTTTCAAATTTGAAGCATAAACTGCTTATACACGAACACCGCGAGTTTGTCGAATAAAATGGATAAGCTACATGAACTCAGCTATGCTAATAATGCTTATCTGATATGAACATCTGAAACTTCATTATCTTCTCAGCTTACGGACCAGCTAGAAATACTCGGGATGTCTTTGTTTCGCAATGACAGAAAATCAGGAATTGTGGGTGGAGTAGCCTTATACTTACGATCCTGCCTGGAGGTACATCAAGTGCACAACCATGAGTTTATCAATGTTGATGAGTCCGTACGGTGCTCAGTGAGATTGTCTACCACCTTGAGGTGTCTAGTTGGAGTCATCTACAGGAAGCCCACTGCTAACATCGAGTAAGACAATCGTATGCTAGAAGGATTATCCCGCTCTACTCGCCTCGGATTCACTCATATCTTGATTCTAGGGGACTTCAGTTTTCCTAAAGTCAATTTCGCGAAACATACGTATATTGGAGGCTGAAACTCTACTGAAGCTCGGTCTTACAACCTTATTGAGGGTCTGGGATTATTCGGAAATGTGACGTCGGCAACTCGATGGAGACTGGGTATTTACAAACGAAGAATTCCCAATTGACAATCATTTCTGGCTCCCCCAGCTAGGAGCGATCACGCCGTCACAGCCTTTAGTTCTATCAGTAAAACAGCTAAGACACCCCACCAACAACAGGCTCTGCTTGAAGTCACTAACTTCTAGTCTGAGCCATGTTGGTAGATGCAGACTACTTGGTTGGGGTCCGCGTGATTATCGTAACCAATGGTTGGAGACTCTTGGTGATATGGCTCAGAATCGATCACAATGGCGTCGGTGTATACACTCTGTCTTCCCTTAAACTAAGAGATTAAAATCGCTTCATATCTTTCTTTCTACTAACTAATTCTTTCTTCCTGTACTGTATCCTTATTGCAGTCTTTCTTTTATATATTACCACCTCTGAATTAACTACTTTTATGAATCCGGTGTCCATCTTGTTGTGTTAATGAGGTATGGCAACTTGGACCGGTGCATATATGTGCCTGGTCCTACGTTGTAGCTGACTGACTCTGGAATTTTAAACGCTTGAATGTGTCAGCTTTACAGGACAATCTACAACAGGTGGATTGAGAAATTCACCCTCAACTAGATGTGGATGCTCATTGGGGTTTATTGCACACGCTCTTATGTGCTACAAAGCAGTCTGTTTCTCAAATGGTCCCCAAAATCTATAAGCAACCTGCAGTCATCAAGAACCACACTCTTCGTTTGCTAAGCCGCAAAAGGCACTGTTGGACGGAATACAAACGAACTAACAACAACGGCGCATATAAGCAACAAAACGTGTAAGGAACATATGTACAAAGGTAATAACAGAAGACAGGCTTCAGTACCAGATAAAGCTTATTGATAAATTTGTGTCCAATCCCAAAAGCTTATTCCGTCATACAGCCCGACCAACAACGACGGTGACGTCGCTAACCTGGCCGAACAGTACTCTCGGATATTTCAACCGACCCACATAAACTATATTGATAAAAGCTTCATCTGCAACTGCACAGGACTTTCCGAAGTGAACCTGAGCGCTGGATTAGTGTACCAGAAACTGCAGCATTTCCTGGTCCGGATATGGTTCACCCTGCTATACTGAGTGAAGCAGCTTCAATCCTGACAACACCGCTTAGCGTGATGTTCTCATACTCGCTGAACCGAGGCACATTACCGGAAACTTGGAAGCTGGCTCACATCACACCAATTTTCGAAGGATGTCGACGCAGTGAACCTTCAAGCCACCGACCGGTGGCTCTTTTCTCTATCCCTTCAAAAATTATGGAGTCTCTGATATGCGATGGTATACGCGCCTATTTATTATTTTTAAACTTTTCACCTCGACAGCACGGTTTCGGGAAGGGTCATTCTTGTATAACCAACCTGCTGATTGCAGTGGACAGATGGACAACCATCCTTGATCGCAAGGGAAAGGTTGACGTCGTTTACCTTGAATTCTCAAAAGCTTTTGATAGGATCAACCATATATGTCTTAGCAATAAGCTCGAACGATTAGGTATCAAATCACCCCAACCAATCTGAGGTTTGTGTTATTTCTGATTGTTGTCGATTGCTTCTGTTATTGAACGTAAGTGCGTTGTGTGCGCTCGGTGAGTCGTTGATTTACCTTTTTTTGTTTTCCAGCCTTTCTCTCGCTACTCTGCATCCTCCCCTAGTACACAAAGTGCCTTGTGGCTAAATCCGGACCTTTACATTATTTACACGGTTGCTTGTATTTCTGAATGGTATTTATTGCAACATTTCGGCACGTTTGCATTGCTGCCTCATCACTCCCAGCAGGTGCATTGGTAATATGTGTTCTATTATGTTTGGCTACAAATTCATGCGTCCAGACTCATTGCACGGTAAATTTATTACAACGAAAACTTTAGTTTTGTAGGATGCCAATTTTCTACCGTCCCTAAGCGCTGCTGTTGGCAGCAATGAACCTCAAAAGACGATATGGATCATATCGATTCTTATTAGTTCGGCTTGGAGGCTGTTGATTCTATTAAATAGTTACATAAATTCCCGTAAATTCAATTCATTCTCAGGCGGTCATTTATCCCTTTCCAATTTGCCATATCTATCAAGTTTTATTGAAATATTTTCACTCAATATGCTTAGCATTGTTTCTTCATCTGATAACTACAGTGAGCGTCAACTTTACAACAATTCCTTTCAGTTCAGCACCGCAATTACTTCTGTGCCTTTGCTTTGTTCTCGGTGGTCTACATGATAACAGATGTTTACGTATTACAACTTAAGCTTAAAACAACTGAAAATGCTTTTCTGGTAAGAATAATTTAACCCAATTTCTAAAAACAACTTAACTTGATTGCCAATAATGAAATATGTATCATGTTTTTCTATTCGGTCTTGCCAGTGATTTAACTTTGAGGATTTCATCCGACGGTGTTGTCATTTAGTTGAGTGGTTTGCTCACGTAGTTAAGCTATTCATTTAGCGAATATATTGTACGGAAGTTTATTGAGCGTAATTAAAACCACGAGTCTGGTATTATGGGTGGTGTCCATAGAGATGTTCCATATTTCCTACTGATTGACTTCCAGGCTACAGTGATGATAATAAAATGCTAGGTAACATTAATTTAATACTTCTCGAATAACCGGATAGTGAAAAAGGTCTCGAAATACCAGGGTGTGAATATTTCTGTCGTGATTTTCGAGTTTCTATGAGTAGCTAGCTATATATGAATGAAATCATCTAGTGTACGAGACCTCGATATAACTTCCCAACATACTGTTAGACAGTTAGCACAAGAAGGAGAACACCAAATTCATAGAAGCAGTTACTTCAGTGGTAGTGATATACAGAAGGCGACTGCATATAAGAGTATGATACGGGAGGAAAGAATTAGTTTGTGGAAAGAAAGGTATAAATTAATTTTAATCCCACGGTTCGCTCGCAACTGATATTTCCCATTTTGCTGAGGCGTGGTTACCTGGGCAGGTATACACTCCCACCAACACCTACGTTTTAGACGGTCGATTATCCAGGACATATTTATGAGGTATAATTTACCTTCTTTGTACAAATGTGTACTAAGCCGCTTTCAACGTCACTCTATGGATGTAACGAGTTTCTGATGTAAGTTTAACTAACACCCAGGTAAGGTTTAAAAACATCGAGAAGATAATTTTAGACTTAACGTTCAAGTTTTGCTTTCACAAATTAAAGTAACATCTATAGCTTTCAGTAAACTCTGAACACACATCAACTTGGTCTAAAGTATTTTCGTGATTAAAACTGAAATGCTGCCAATAATGCGTTTTTATAAACAAGTTTTTCATGTGGTTGGATCACACTGTATACGTGTGAGCAAAATACGTTGAAGGTGAGGCACAACGAAGTCGAAAGCGCTTGTAGGAGGTAATATACCTGAACTTTTAGTTATGAAGAAGTGTATGTTATGGCTAAGTTTTTGGCTTCTTAACTTCCAACCGTGTATACGCACGTCTTCTTGAATCATTTGCTTTACATAAATGTTTCATGCACCTATATTTTACTATCTAAATATACCGATGATTTCATCGTTTTCCAGAGTACCATATTACGAAAGAAGATATATCTTATGGGGTTGTACTTAATTTGTTTGTTGATTCTTGTACTGTGTTATTGGATTCACATGACATTTTGTCCTCCATATGGTACGTTTAATAAACTACAGTACCTATCTAATATTTTAGTTATTTTATTCATCGTAGGGAAAATTCTCAATAGTTTTCTCTGTGTAGTGTGAATGTAGAAAATGGTTCTCTTAATACTAATATGATGTTTAGTAAGGACCGTAAAACAATCCAGAACTGTGTAGTAATCTTGAATTTTTTTACGAATTTAATTCACTGGCTAACAAATTTACTGTGAACCTTGAAACTACGTAGTTCACTCTGTCCACTTGAATTTATATCCATGGATATTCATGATATGAGCAATCACTTCTAAGAGAGGAAAGAAGCTCCAGGAGTTGATAGGTTCTCCCAAATGGCGTATTTGAGTGGTATCCGTGAAAGTACAATCACATTTATAGTGGATATACTTTAAAATCAAGTTATTAAACACAAACGTTTGTGGAACAGCCTATACCTAAAAATAAACTACCTTTGTTGAGTTTATTAAAAGCCAAATACAAACCGGTATTTGCCGGATGTGTTATGTGCTCCCTGGATAAAACTTATACAATCTGAAGAATACCAAACTGCCTCGCAGTCTCGAATGCTGTGTGCAACTTGTCTACTCGCTTTATCGTACGAATAGCTTTAATATTTTCATTCAAAATTCACAAGTAAATTCTGATCCGTTATTTTAGTAACAACTCATCCATCTTTGATGTTTCTATTCTAGCTTATACTATATTTTCTGCAGTTGAATATGCTGCAATATTTGCAAACATTTTTTATCACTATACAACCTCCAGTACATTTGAAGATATATCAGTGAGGAAAATGATCATTTACTTTTCCACTGGTCGAACTATTCCGTTCGTAAATATGAAGTCAGAACTACCATTGTTGGAAGTAAAATGAATAATTGTTTTTCAAATAGAATTTTGTTTAATTCGCTATCATTCTTATGTACGTGAGATTATACAACCCATTAAATTACATAAAGCATATTTTGTTAACTGTATAGTAACGTCGATGAAATACAAAATTTCATACAATCTAAGTGTATATGTGTTGCGTCATTGATCCGTTTGCCCACTAATGTACAGGAGAGAATTGTCTCAACCTAGTTTAAAGTCTTGAGGCTGGAGAATGCGTGAGTTCAATTGTGGCTGGAGGGTGTTGAGAACAGAGAAAAGAAAACTTGTATAACTGACCTATTACCTGATTATTAGGTTAACAGGACAGGAAAGAGAAGAATTGGACTGAAAATTACTCGATTTACTCTTGATCTAGTTAGATGTATGACTAGAAAAACTACAACTCACAACAAATAAGAAAAACACAGTTGCGTCCAGTCTAGGGCATTAGAGTAGAAAAATGGGGTGCAAACGTTACGTCAGAATTCCAGTAATTTTGGAAAAGATCACAGTGACATATACGTTACACGAAAGCTTCCAACATAAAATAAAACAGAGACAAATGTTAGTACTTTAGAGACTTTGAACTAAGTGAAGCGATGTCCTAGGAAATGGCTTCCGTTGTTCAATATCGCTTTTCTATTTCTCTTCACATCAATAAGTTAATACTTAACAATAACGCAATAGGAACATTAACTACTAAGTATCAGTAATGATCTAAAGTATGATAATAAACTGAGACGTGTAAACAAAAACAAGTTGAAAGATAAGTTTAGGGAATTCATTATTTGTAACAACACAAATAGTAAAGATATCTCTACCTTCAGTCATTATATGATGCCTACAATCGCTGTATTTTTGTGCCCATTTTAACTAGCAGTAGACGACGACCGGGCGAACTTATGCTAATAAAACGTTTTTTCGTCGTTTCCAACTATCCGCCTTACTCATGACCATAGTTTGTTGTGGTCAGTATCTTTACAAAGCATTTAAATGCCACCAAAGCTTGTTAAGGAAACATAATAGTTAAAATACAACTATGGTTGATTAGCTTCTCTAGTCGATTGGATTATTTCAATTGGAGTACTACAATTAGACGGTGTATGTGAACATTAATCAGTAGGCTAATAGCATGACGGATTAACATGAATAAATATCAGCAAAGTTATTATTAATATAAGGATAAATTACATTCTGTGATTTAGTGTTTCCTGCGGATGTAGAATCTAGGTCTAGGCCTATATTAGTGCACTTATTTATGCTTCCAGAATGGCTGTTATCCGATAATGTGGATCAAATGTGAATCAAAGCTCGTGAAGAGCAGATTAGAGAAAACCAGGCCGGTTTTCGACCTGGACGTGGTTGTATAGATCAGATATTCACACTACGTCAGGTTCTAGAACACAGACACACATTCAGACGCCCCACAATGGTAGTATTTCTCGACCTTAAGGCGGCATTCGACTCTGTTGATCGTGAGGTTCTATGGCAGTGTTTGTCACTGAAAGGAGTACCAAAGAAGTACATTAACCTTATAAAGGCTCTCTACTCGAACACAACTGGTAGAGTAAGAGCTTATGGCGAACTGTCATCAGAATTGATTACCTCAAGTGGTGTTCGTCAGGGCTGTCCACTCTCCCCATTCTTGTTCAACTTTGTGGTCGACGTACTTTTAGAGTTAACACTCTCCTCATCTAAATTTCCAGGGGTTGAACTTGTACCGGGAGGTTCACTTGTTGACTTAGAACATGCAGATGACATAGTTTTATTTGGTGAAGACGCTGACAAAATGCAGAGTCTTCTGACCACTCTAAGCAACAATGCAAGCATGTTCGGGATGCGATTCTCTCCCTCGAAATGCAAAATGTTGCTTCAGGATTGGGTTACATCGACACCCGGACTAGTGATAGGGAGTGAAGTAGTTGAGTGTGTCGACCGCTTCACTTATCTTGGAAGTCTCATCAGCCCTTGTGGTTTAGTGTGTGAAGAAATCTCAGCACGGATACAGAAGGCTCGACTAGCTTTTGCCAACTTGCGTCATTTATGGCGTAGGCGAGATATCCATCTATCAACCAAAGGACGTGTTTACTACACAGCAGTTCGTTCCGTCCTACTTTATGGCAGTGAAACATGGCCGGTAAGAGTAGAGGATATCCGTAGGTTACTAGTATTTGATCATAGGTGTCTTCGAAACATTGCTCGTATATCATGGGACCATCGAGTAAGTAACACAGTTGTTAGGGATCGGGTACTAGGTAAGGATGGCAAATCAATTGATGAAGTAGTGAAACTTCATCAGTTGAGGTGGCTGGGACACGTGTTACGTATGCCCAACCACCGACTGCCTCGACGTGTTATGTTCAGTGGTATAGGAGTAGGTTGGAAGAAAGCTAGGGGCGGCCAAACCAAAACATGGCACAAGTCCATGAAGTCACTGACAAGTGGACTGAGTCATGTTGGTAGGTGCAGACTACCTGGTTGGGGACCGCGAGATGATAGCAACCGATGGTTAGAGACCCTGAATGACATGGCTCAAAATCGTTTGCAATGGCGCAGGTGCATCCACTCTCTGTGTTCTCCCAAATTCTAATCTTCTGAATTCTTCATGTCCATTTTTTCCTCTTTCCAAATCTATTTCACTGGATTATACTCCTTGAATAACATCTCCAAACCCTAATCTTCCCGATTACTCCTTATACTCTTATTACCTCTACCACTACGGGATTTGAATCGACAACTGAATCTCTGTGCTAATGTGGTGTGGCAACTCGAACTGATGTACGTACGTACGAGGTTCTACGTTGTTACTGACTGACTGAATGTGGACTTGTCATGAAGTGACTACTTAGTCGATGAGGTCTTGCGTCGAAGTCACTGTCTGTAGTGACTCATCTTGAAAGTCAGCGGATCTTTTCAAGAACTTCTAGAGAACACATTCCGGTCGGAGATAGAATTATGTACCTAATTTAAAGAGCAAGGGAATACGTAGAATGATTACGCCTGCATGCTCTAGTCATGTAGTTCCTATCAAGTATTTCTACCTTCACCTTTTTCCTACCTCCAAGTGTTAGACAGTCGATCGTTATATTCGCGTCACTTAATATTTAGACTTGAAAACGAGGAACTGCTAAAATACTCAAGATGTGAAGTAAAAACAAGAAGACTGGTACAGGTGAAAATTTACTTATCCGAAAAACACGACGACCCTAATCGAAGATACACTTGTTTATATATTGATTTGTACATCCATTAAATACGAAGATGTCATATGTGAAATGAAGACGGAATTGCATGCTGCATATCGTTCGCGTCAATCCAATACAAAAAACATATCTTGAATAGACATCACACTGCAATAAATCAATGTTATGGTCAGTAAAATGTCACATTACAATCAAGCACAAATATTACGGTGAGTAGTCATATTGGATTAAAAACAGAAGTAATGTTGAACCTTTTCGTTCCGCCATATCACTAATATAAATCTCATTGTATCATGCGGCTAGGAACCGGTCTCATTACATCCCCTTTTAAAGACGAAACCGAACTGAGTCAACAAATAACCCTAGTCACGTTCAGGCTAATAATAAAACTAAAATCGCTACTTTTGCGTAAAAGATTGACATTAGATTTGGAATATTTAGATGACCCCCTGGGTGTTCACTGTGAGAGACTTAGATTTTACAAATGATTGGATTAGGCTCTTTAGAGGAATATAAATTTCTAGTTGACGCCTTTTGACACTAAAATAAACTTCGAGCTACACAAGTTTACGTCATTTCTCTAAATTTGATACAGACTGCTGATAGGAACTACAAAGCTCCAGGATATGATTGGAGAATTCCAAAACTTGGCCAAATTAAATCCTCAAGCTTATGAAAATAAGCTAAAAGTAACACATTAAAATGAACCCATGCCTGTGTTTCCAAGAGATTAGCTCCTGATAAATCTAAGATCGCTAAACCTGAACTTGAACTAAGTTAGATTTGGATACTATCCATTCCTCTGTAAGCCAATGGACATCATCTCTACAGATGGAGATTACAGAGCCCTCAGCCGTCACACTATACCAGCTAGGTATCCAGAGCCAACTGCTACTGTTTTTACGTAGTCTGAAAGGTTTGACTACATATACTGAGACCGACAGTCAGAGCATATCACGATATCCCAGTAGCTGAGGATGAAGTCTTTACAACAACCATTACCACACCTGGATCGTTCGAGTTCATTCAGTTGTTATTCAGTCTCAGAAACGTGGCACGATCATTTCAAGGGTTTATGAACATTTTATTTCGAGATGTGCTTTTCACAAAAGGATGTACCGAGGACTTATCAACCCCGTATTCATTTAAAATTAAATACAGAAAATGCGAGAACCGTGTTAAGCGGAAAAAGTAATGAACGTACACCAAAGTAATTGTTTCCGGACTAATAAGATGCCCAAACAGAAACACATCAATTAAAAAAATAGATAGGGGCTATTCATGAATAGCCCCAAAATCCCCTAAACTTCCCAATCTCAAAATTTCCCCAGATCAGGGGAATTTCCCCAGGATCTCATGACACTTTTGGGAAATCGGCCTATATTTATTAATAAAACCCCAAAATTCCCCATTTAATTAGGGTTTTTTCTCCAAAATTTCCCATGAATTTAGCGTTTTTCCTCAAAATTTCACAATAATCTCACTATAGTTTTTGCAAATTCGTTTTAACGCAATAATTCTCAACAAATTCCTACAGATATCAGGGAAAAGCCAGGCGAGAATAACCACCTAGTTTTTACTCCGATATTCCGTTATTTTCATTCAATTACGCAGTGCCAAAGAAACTTAACGTTAATTGATCTATCGGTGTAATTAAAAGACTGATTCGTGACACATTCAAATGTTTATTACGTTTATAAAGTTAAAAATCATTCATTAATACATATTCTCTTCACTGCTTAGTAGCCTAAGCACGTTGAACTATCATTCACAATGTTCTACAGAAATAAAAATATTCTTAAGTTTACAAGCAAATATCGTGCTATGTAAAACGTCGATGACGTACCAACTGTATAACAGTGTTGTCAATAAAGCGAACAAAAAACTTACAGTTACGTCTGTTAAAACTTGCGAAGCCAGCTGAAAATAAGATGGACAAG